ACTGGAGCTAAAAACCTGGTCAACATCAATAAGGCATAAACGCTTCAGGATCTTACAGACCCTGTATCCTTTCTGCTGGACAGGTAAACCGCCTTAACAAAGTAAGCCAAGTGTCTGTAACAGAAGTGTTTCTTGTCAAAGTCTGCTGTGTGTTGTAGCGCCGCTAAACTGTTTACCTCGAGTCCTCGAGTATGTCACTTTATCCTGTGTGTTATTGTGTTTTCTGGTAATCTGTTGGCATCTACAGTAGCACCAATGCTTTTTACTTTCATGTTGACTGGGCTCCATTTGTAATTATCTGAAGTATTTATCTGCATTATATCTGAATTTAATTGAAACAATATGAGCGATCAGGAGCATCTGTTTGTGGGCGGGGCTTGCTGGAGCAGAGAGGGAGGGGAGAGGAGGAGCTGAGGGGAAAACTGGTTGGGAGGGGTAGAGTTTACATTCAAGATCTCTCCCCAAACTGACACTTCCTCAGATCCTGGCTACAACACCTTGAAGTAAAATACTTAGAGAAGATTATCAGGGATGATTTAAATGTTGAGAATCAGTGCTATTAATTGCATGCCCAGTCAAATATGTTAGCACACAAATGTCATATTTGCATTAATGATGACTAATAAGTGCATATGTGAGCAGGCCCAAGAAATCAAACGATCTCACCAGCAATAGTTGTTCATTTTTGCATCTGTTTTATGAACTTTAGGTACCGGTAAAGTTTGATAGTCTAACTTGCCAAGATTAACATGCACACTAAATAGACAAAAATATATAATTGTTAATGGCGTCCTGATTATTGTTAGAAGTATTACAAGTTCTTTTTCTCATATGTTTATAATTCATAACCCTGTCATCTGAACTTTAAATTTAGTAGCTTGCTGAACATCTAAAGGTGAAAGTCAGCAGAAAAGAAAACTCCTGCTCTCCCAGTTGGATAGAATTTTTGGTGTTGCATCTCGTTGTGTTACTTTACCTGACTGTGTGAGAATACTGTAAGTACTTTCATGCATTTTTTCTGTGCTTACATGCTTTAAATTCATGAGCAGTGAGATTAATCACAAACTGTGCTGCTGTGACACATCGCTGCTCACCGTGCGCCCCCGAGTCATCTACAAGGCTACATCTCTGCCTAATCTTTGGGAATTTGAACAGCAGAAATACAAAAACAGTCATCTTTGTCGCTTTTCAGCTTTAAGTCTCCACGGTACAACTGCAGTCTAACAGTAACTCAGTGAGAAGAAGCTCCACTTTTATCCCCAATATGGACGTTTAAACATCATTTAGGCACCATATTAAAACCTGTTTTCAAGGTTAACAAAGGTTTAATAGTGCTCCAAAAAGCTGGTTTGAAATCTCCAATTTTCTGTATTCAAAATAATTGTCTTTCCAGGAAATGATGTTTTGAAGCTGGAGCAAAAGCCTGAGTTTCATTTGTTTGGATGATGAGTTTTGATTTTTGTTGATTTTTTGAAAATCTCCTTCATTTCCTGAGTAGAAAGCTTTGTTTTTGGAGGAACTGTTCGTGTGTGTGTGTGTGTGTGTGTGTGTGTGTGTGTGTGTGTGTGTGTGTGTGTGTGTGTGTGTGTGTGTGTGTGTGTAATTTTAAAAAAGTATTTTCATTTTCATATGTGACAACTGAAATCAAACACTTAAAAACTGTGATTTCTTTCTTTCTTTTTTTCTTTCTGTTGGTTTTTTTATTGAGATACTTTTATATAGTGGGTTTGACCTTGCTTTATTTAGTGCATGTAACACAGACACTAAATGATAAAATATCTTTGGGGATCATAACTTCTATTTTTTTTCTTTTGTTAGTTGGGGTGTTGAGTGTCATTTTGCTAACGCTGCCTTTCTTGACTAAGCCAGTGAGAGAAAAAATTTTAATAGTCATTTCTGGCAGAAAAATTCTGAGGTAAATATGAACTGAATAAGTCTGAAGCTAAAAATAGTCCTTCATATATTTCTCACTCCTACTGGTCTTAAAACTGATTAAAAAAGTTCAGATCCCAGCTGCTGTTAGAACTTTATTTGCTTTTTTAATAATCAGATTGCTTTCCATCTGTGAAGGTGTGTGAGTCACTTTACCAGAAAGAAAGAACAAAGACAGATATTACCTTGAAATCAAACCATTTTCTCTTGGTTTTATGATTTATTCCGGACACATTTGCGGTATTGTCTCCATTATATTCATACAAATGAAGTATATTGAACTGAAACTGGATGAAAAATGATTTGCCAATTCTGAGATGCAAACACCAGCTGCTCTGGGCTTTCTATTAAATTTGCATCAGGTATCTATAAAGTATATAAAAAATATGAAATAAAATGTTTATTAACTTCTCATTGGCAAACATGATCCATCTGGTTTGTTTGAACCAAAAAGAAAAATAGCACTGATTCTTTCATAACTTCTCCAGACAGACTCATGACAAAAAACTGAGGGTCAAATTAAAAAAAAAACTGAGGTCTGACTTTCCGCCCTGTGGCTGACTCTTGGTCCAGGCTGTCTGGATCCCAGGTGTGAAAACTGTCTGCTACATGATTCTTTTCATCTGCCTCCATCCTCCCCTCTCTGTCCCTTTGCACTCTTCCCTCTGCTCCTCTTTCTTCTTTTCACCTTGAAAAACTAAATTCATCTTCGCAGCTGAAGGCCAAAATATGTCACAGCGAGGCTGCTGATGAATGTGACAACAGAGTTAAATATACGCTGCAGCAGGATAATTAGTCTGAATCATTAGGCTGGACCCAGATGTGACCTCTCATTTTATTTTAGCTCACCTTGCCTCAGAGCTAAACCTTTTCACCAAAATAGACTGTTTAAACATGAGCAGCACAACAACTCTCCTCAAGTGAGGCCAAAACCTCCAGAGCTCCCTCTAGTGACTGCCTGCAGTACATATCTTAAAGCCCGCCTCTTCCATGATGACAGATGTGCTTACAATCTCTGTTTTAATTTTTCAGAGACACTTTCAGCTACAGTCCCAAAAAAGTTAAGACACAGCGGAGTATGTTTCACTTGTATTTGATTAAGAGAAAAAGACACAGCAGCCGTGATTTCTAACAAGAATAGGAATTTTTGATTTGACAGTTTGCCTCTTTGCTTCGGTCCATCCTAAATGGCCTGAGATCCAGAGAAGTGGCCAGCATGTTTTGATTATGAGTAATGCAGCTTTAACCTGCATTTTTGGATGCAGTGACGAACTGTATTCACAGACAATGGTTTTGGGGAGTGATTTTGAAAACATGCAGTGATTTTCACCACAGAGACATATCTGTTTAATGTAGTGAAGTAGTCCAGTATTGGTTTTTACCTTTGTCCCCTCTGTACAGACATTTCTGCAGATCTCGGAATCTTTTCATGATATACAGTATATAATGAACTCCCCAGATTCCTTAGTTATTTATGTTGTTGCTCTCCATCATTCTGCCTCTGATTTATACCCATTTACAGATATGATACTCATCATTGTATCCTTCATGAAAAGGCTGGTTGACCCTGAACTGAACAGAAATGTCACAAACATTGGTATTATTCATACATTTTTAAGGCTTTTACAGGTGAGCAGCTTGTTGGAGTGGAATTATGAAACATATGGGACTCATTCTTTCCACTGTCTGTCTCTCGAAGTCCCTCGTGCTTACAGTGAACTCAGTAAATCAACATTTTCTTGAGATGCCCCAGAGTCATGAAATATCCTCCAATCCAATACTTTCATATTAGACCAATGGTGTTTCAAATTGTTACTGTTTCAATTAATTTAGTTTTTCTGGTTGATTAAATGTATTCTTTTATTTTCTTGTTTTTATTGTAAATGTTGACGACATCGTCATTCTGAGAATAGTTAAAGTTTTAAATGGAATTGAATCAAACTGAGTTGGATCACACTGATGTGAACTGAACTGAATTTAACTGGATTAAATTAAACTGAATTGAATTAAACTGAACTGAATCAAACTGAATTGACCTTAATCAAAGTGACTTGGATTAAATTTGACACAGAGGAACCTTAAACTGAAACTGTTGAAACGTTTGCTCACACAGTCTCTCACAGTCTAGTAAACATATTCCCATCTGTACCTCTGAGAGGCTCAGATTTAGAACTGGGACTGTAGTTTTTGGCAGGTTGTTATTTGATGTTTGTGACTGACATGACTGACAGCTCTTGTGATGAATGGGGGATCTGTGGTGTTCTTGACCGGATCAACAGAGTAGAGGAGGAATGATGAGAGAAAATACAAATCACTGAGCTTTCCATAACTGTGAGAGTCCACACACAACAACCTCCTCTGTAATGCGCTGTACCGACCTGTGTGATGACAATCCCTTTGCTCCAACAGCGAGATCGATTCTCTGCATGATTTGGCTCCAGGCTCTATCATCTCTGCAGTATATCAGCCTATCAAGGTAGTTTTCTACTATCTTAGGACAGAAAGAGACGGGGGAGGCCTTCAGTATTGATAATCAATCAATATACTGAAGAAATGTGGATGTTTTCATGAAAGAAATCATAATTTTCTGTTCTTATTTTCTAATAGAAAGGCATGAAAGGAGTACTGACATCTTCTTGACACACCTTTACAGGCAGGCGTGAAGAGTCTATGTGTGAAAAACAAACATGTCTGCTTCTAATCCTGATGCAGATGTCTTACAGAGATCACTCTGACAGAGAGAGACAGAGAGACGGGCCAGGGACAGGACCACACGAGTAATCTCCTGCTGCTCAGGTAAGAAAGACCTTCACACATGGAAGCTTTCTTCTTCTTCCTCTTCTTCTTATGGATTTTACCCTGCAAGGCCTTTAAGGTATGTACCCTGCACCTGGAGATATATTTCAGCCCTAAATCGTGTCCTTTGCTTTCCGATGTAGCTTGGATGTTATATATAGACCCTGTCTTTGACACACATGCACACACAGAGAAACTGATTTCTCTTGGGTGAACAGAATAACTCTCTTCAGGTCAGTCTCTTTGTATTCTGTCTCTCAGTTTCTGGGATCATGCGTGCTGTGTGTGTGTGCGTACTGCTCTGTTCCCTCTGGCTCGTCCTCCTCCCTCCTACAGGTATGTAAGCCCTTCATGTGTGAGGCGAATTACATATATGGACCTGACACTGTGTTATGCAGCAATTCTGACACGACAAGGCGAGAAATAATGTTCACACCTCTCTCTGTCTTCTTTGACAGCTGCAGAGGGGAGCGGGGCAGCCAGCAGGAGGGAGGAGACAGAGAAGGGGAGGGTGAGGGAGAGACGGAGCATGCCGTACTGGGGTCTCTGGTCATCTGATTTCATTGGATGGATGGAGGAACTGCGAGCGCAGGCAGCTCAAACGGGGATGCAGGACCTGGCCCGGACATTCTGGGCTCACTTTCCCATCGCGAACCAATTAGGGTACGATAGTCCGGAGTCTGACCCTCAACCTGAGGAGTAAGGAAGAGGAGAGAGGGGGGTACAGATGAGAGATTCAAGAGCCTGAGAGCAGAAGGCAATCTTAACAGTTGTTTGTAAGAAATCATGTGATGATCACAGTTTGGAAAATACATATTTTGAAAATGTACGGATAACTTTTACAATTCTGATGACTTTTCTGTGTTAAAGAATAAGAAAGGTTACAGAAATTGTGATCTTGGGTGTTTCTTTCCTTTTTTCCACCACATTAACAGCTCCTCAAACTACAGCCTGAACTATTTTAACCTCAAAATACAGCTTAATACACCTCTCAACAAATGTTTCCCAAGCAATAGTAAATAAAACTCTCATGTAGGTGATGTAGGATGTTAAGGTTGTGTGTTTTATGATCAGAGGGGTGAAATCTGGTTGACCACTCATGGTGCCAAGTTACTAATTCATAACTATGATTGGCTATTCACCTTTCTTGGAGTGGGGCTAAAATGGACACAAAGTGAAAGTTCTTCACAGGAGTTTTAATGATCTCGACTTTTAGATCTATTATCTGACTGAACAGTGACCTGAACCTGTGACTTGGAGGTGGAAGATGACTTCAAAGTGCTCTCTGGGAAAAAAAAAACAAACAAAAAAAAGGTTTATTTAGAATTTTTTTAGACACTTTATTTTGAATTTTTAGTTAATATATAAAACAATCATATCCTCTGTATTACAAATAACTTCAACAAACAGTCCCGACAACAGACAGAGACAGATCAAACCCAAAATCCATGTGACAAACTAGTTATAGACAAAGACAAAGACAAGTTAAAAACAACAACAACAACAATAGCAAGTGCACTTAATACTTATTATTACGGAATTTGTTCAAGGGTAGATGTAATGATTCAAAGTTCCAGTTCCAGACCAGGTAAATTGTAACCGAAGTTAGAGAGTCCCAGGTTTTGTGGAATTTGTTAAGGGCACATATGATCTTTTCCATCTTAAGGTTCTGCATAAAGTTCCTAATCCAGTGGTAATGAAATGGAGGGTTTATTTTGATTATTGCTGATGCACACAAAGAAATATGCAAGGGTGCATGTACAAAACCCCCAACCAGTGTCAACGTAGTGTGCAGTAATTTTAACCTTATTTCGCTTGCTTACTGATGTCTAGGTATTTCCAGTTAATGTGACAGTATTTCACTTTTCAGGAGCTCTAATCCTCGTTTCTTTACCGAGTTTCAGCCTCAGGTTTGTGACAGTTCACACACTCCAAAAAGTGCTCTGTCAGCTTTTGTGACGCAGTGACAATCAATCAGTGACGCAGTGACGTCAATCTGATCAGCTGCACCTGAATGCTCATAGGTGATAGCTAAACATCACAGTTAAATTCAATGAAATTTAACATAAAGTGCACATCAGACTTTTCAACTAGACCACCTTAAAACTTGAAATGTACCATTCAGAAGCACAGTGGTGTTGTAATTTTCAATATTAGCATCGGCATTCAAGTGGTGTTATTACACTGTGCAAATACCATTCAGTTTGAAAAAATTAATACTGTAATTTCAGACATTAATTCAATTTAAATGTCAAATCTGACAGCGTTAATTAAAATGGTTTAGTGGAATCTCTTATCTCTTAGATAATTCTTTCCAACACACGTCTAAATAGACTTTTTTCACTCCCTCAGGGTGTCATCTACTCCCTACCAGTGATTTAGACAGCCTAAACCGTTTATAAGTTTTTATACAGGGCCCAAGTTCTTAAAAATGTAAAACCGGGGACGAATAAATTCAAATTAGCACAATCTTCAGGTCACTTCAGTCCAATGTGAGACTTGTAGGTGTGAATGTTTGTGTTAGCTTTAGGGAGCAGCTGGGTCGGCTGAGTACAACAGCGCCAGACACTGAGGTCACACCACTCGGTCTGTCAAGTCAAGTGTGAGGAGTGGAGGGAGGATGGACGAGGAGATTACGAGTTTGGCAGGGTTAAAAGAGCACACAGAGGATGCTGTGCTCTTGAGCAGAGTTCAGTGGAAACATCTGATCAGACAATATTTCAACTTTGAGTTCCCTGGACAACAAACAAACATGCTGTTCACTTAAGAGAAGGTTAACTTAGTGATGCTCTGATGCAGAAATGCTCATTTCATGCTTTCATGCAGGAGGATAGAGAAGCTTCGTACATGAACCTACACCCACTTTTTGAGCTACTTTGCTCTTTTTTTCCGGCTCAGTGCGAGGTTTGTTTGGATGGGAAACATCTAAGAGCCTAATGAGGTTTCTGTGGCCGTGAATTTCTTTATTCTGTGAGACGCATCATGTTGTCTCTGCCCCTCGAGTCCTTCAGTGTTGTTCCTCTCTCTGCCTCCAATGTGTGCTCAAAGGCTGATAGTTACAAACAGCCTGAGGGGACCATGAGGGATCAGTATTTGTCTGAATCCACAATGTGTTTTCAGGCGTTCATGATCACATTTTTTAATCTCAAACCCTAAAACGTCTTTGTTTTATACAGCCCATAAACACAGAAATCTGTTCCTGCTTTTGTTCTCTTTTTTATAACGGTCTTTGTCTGCTTTTGATAAGAAGCTTTGCTTCTCAGACCTTCTCTGAGGTGTCTGATGAATAAAACCACAGGGGAAATCTGGTCTATATGCATGCCTGCACTGACAGCAGACACTTGTGCCTTGTGTTCAGCTTTACAATTCTCCAGTCATGACTCAGACACAACAGTTAGTCTCCCTTCAGAGAGAGCTGAAATCTTTCACGTCCAAGGCCGAGTGTGTGGATCGGCGTGTTTGAATTATGTTTGTGTGGGAGTAAACACCGAGTCAGCTACACTTCATAAAGCGTGCTTCATAAAGAGGATTCAGACACTTTGGCTGAGTCAAAACAATATTTAAAGACAGTCAGAGTTCACAAACAATCCATTTTTACCTCCCACTTTTCTTTGTCTGTCTTTGTTTTACTTTAATTCAGTTTTGTTACTTCACCATCTTTCTAAACCCATCCTGAGAGCAGAGCATCGCCTGCCAAATCCTGGGTTTCCTGCATTCCAGCTCGACCTGAGAGACACACAGTAGCTGCTTGTGTTACCAAACCAAATACTTTCCCTCTCTCTCTCACACACACACATTTAGTATTGACAAGTTCAAGCCAAATGGAAAGAGAAATTCTGAATGAAATGCTATAAAGTAACATTTACAATCAAGCATCAGGAATCAGCTGTTATTACTGTATGATCCATTGCTGTGCTGTAAACTGCTGATAAGCCACTTTGTCTAAAAACCTTGGGTAAATATTAAAACACTACGGCTGCTTCACCCATGAAAAGTTGAATTCATAAAATCAAAATCGTACTCTGTTTCAGTCTAACACTGTATTGCAAATATAGCCATCTGTGTTCTATCTCCTGTCGATGCCAAAACTGAAGTTCTTCCAGTGTCTTCTTTAGGCCGAGTCAAAATGACAAAACATCTCCATTTGATCTCATGTTAAAATGCTAATATTTTACAGCAGAATAACATGTTTACAGACCGTCTCACTTGTTTATTTCCTACATATGCACTGTGTGGAGGGTGACTTTTTTTTTTTTTTATGAAGCGCTGGTTAAGATTTCATAAAGGCAAAGAGTTTCACACAAGTTTGGAAAACTAGGGGTAAAGTGGAGCTTTTTGCAAGAAGACTTAAAAAGAGACTGATATTCATTTCACTGTTTAATGATATCATCTTGGTGCACCTATGGAGTAGCTCTGCATGATTTGCAGTCTTATTGATCTCATACTGGTGTCCATGATAACCCTCATTTCCTGACTAGAACACTTTCTTTTAGCTACTTTTCCAATGACCTCAAGTTAGACACAGCGAGTGGGTATTACTTTTGTATGACATGACTCAATACCTTATATATATATATATATATACTGTAAATTCTTGTTGTATTAGTTGCTTTAACAGTGTTACTTACAGCTTGTGGGCCTGTATGGAGGGTCTTCTTGAATGTAACAACTGAGACATACATTCAGCTGATACTGGCCTTTGTTTACAAAGGGGTTATCTGTGAGATGGTGGGCACAAACAGATACGAACTAGACCAGGCAACATGCCAGACTTATAGAAGGAGAAACTTGAACAAGCTTCTGGGTGGGTGTGTCTTTTACAGGGGTGCCGGGTGGGCTTGTCCTTCAACATGTCCTAAGGGACGGCGGAGCCTGATGTCAGGTTTGGTATAAACATTCAACATTGTATGTATTTCTTAAAATTATGGCACCTGCTATCAAAGGGCGGGAAAACATCACCGTACAGAAACCAACAGGGGACATCTCAGGGACTACATCTTTATTTAATGAAGTCTGTGATCAGTAGCTTCTTGTGGCTAATGCTAACTAATGGTATAAAAGCCCCCTTCCAACGTGAACCCCTGACATTTTCTCATTAATGTAATGGAAATCAAGGACCTTTAACATTTCTTTCACAACTCACTTTAGGTTGTGTGCACTCAGGTACAGCATGTCTTCCTCTAAGAGGGAGAGTGTTCAGCATCTGTGACTATTTCTGGGTATTACCACAAAAACACATGCAAGGACATTTTCATAATTTACAGTGTAGAAAAACAAAGAGCAGGATGCTAAGGGGGCACTGAAAGCCTATAGCTGTGAATAATGTCGTAAATCCACCTACTTGCTTGTGGTGAAGGTTACAGACCTGCAGAGCTGACACATCAGCTCATTCAGACTTTTCTGTACAAATACAAATCTACATAAAGTCAGTCTGAACAGATTTTGCCAGTTGTGTCCACGCAAACAACCCCAACTCAAAAAATTCTTTGGAAATTTTTAGGCTGTACCACATGTGTGAAAAAGCATTACCATAGACTGTGTATACTATGGACAACTTGGTTCTGCCTTCCACCAGTATATGGATTTGAAGCCAACAAGCTCTCGGTATTTCCACGATTTTTCTTCATTTCCTGAAACCAACACTGGGCAGTAGCATTGTACGCATTTGTCGGGAGATGCTCGGCTCAAACAGTGTATTCCCTGGGTGAGCTACACAATCTTCGTGCGCCCATGGGCTGTATCAAGTGTCAATCATAGAAAACATGAACCCCCTCATAACTTTTAAAAATTGAGCTGTACAGATAAAAGAGGACTTGAGCGCAAACCAGTCTTACAGTAACTACATGTCAACATCACAAGTAGGGGGGAGAAAAATCCAAAGGGGTTGCTGGAGAAGGCGGGATTTATGACCTATACTGCAGGCCGTCACCAGAGGGTGCTGTTCTCGCAGTGGCTTCACCCAGCGAGGAGTCGGATGGCATCCTTTCTACATACAGTCTATGAACATTACTGAAAGCTGAATATAGTATTCCAACTTTACTGCAAATTTCTCCAGGTGGCCATGCTTGGTACTACATAAAAAAAAATCCCCTGCACTCCTGAAATGATTGTTTCCATAGGTCCTATATTGGAGACACCTATAACTGTAAAGTTAGTGTATTTCTCTTTATGTATTCTTTTTTAAATCAGTGAATGTTTGAAATTAAAACATTTTTAAGAGCAGAAAATCTGCAAAACTGCACAATAGTTTTGGTTAGAGATGCACCGATCCATTTTTTTCCGATCCAATCCGATTCCGATACCTGGCCTGAGCGTATCGGCCAATATCGATCCAATACTACTGTTGAATGAATGAACTGTATACCTTCCCCTGTGAGTGAAGGCATCGGGCTTGACATTAGCTTTTTCAAAATAAGGTAACAAATTAACACAGATATAAATTTACTTAATATTATTTATCAACAAATAACAAATTGCACATTAGCAGACAGCAAAAAGAAGTAAGACTTCCATGTAAACATTTAGTGCCAAAGTATAGACAGACATAGAGCGAACAGAATCGCTGTGTTGCTGTGTATGATATTAATTAAAAGAAAAAAAAAAGACTGGATCGGAACGCCGGATCGGGATCATTCACCAGATATCCAATTCAGTTCATTTGTCAATATAGGGGCCGATATCTGATCCAAATATCGGATCGGTGCATCCCTAGATTTGGTCTGTCTTTTTCTGTATTTGTGACAACTTTAAGAGGCCGAACTCTCTTTGAACTCATCAGTTTTGGTTATATAAAGGTCTGAGGGTTCAGCATAACACGGTATGATTTTGAGCATGGATGTGTTATAGCTGTGTATCAGGCAGAGAGACTCGACTGCCTGATTCTAGCTGGAGGGCGACATCGCTGAGTCTACGTTCATGGTTTTAGCACTACACAATATTTGAATATGGAGTCAAAGAGGGATAAAAACAGACAGATGTGCAGATGGCCACACAAAACTAAAGTGAATCCGGACTCTTTTGCCTTATGCACTTAAAAAGCAATATTTACTCAAGTAAAAGTGCAGTTGTCTTTGTTGAAACCCCTGAGGCCCCATGATGATCAAAAGGTTTCCATGAGGTGAAGTTCACTCGATGTGTGTTGGAGCATGAGAGGAGGAGAGAAAAGGACTGGTGTCTCCCTGTGCTGAAGTCTTTTAATTGAGAACACATATGAGCAGTTTGGTTCGACAGACTGTCAGATTTCAAACTCGTGCTTTATGAATCTGGTTTAATGCACGTCGTCTTCCTGTTATTCTCACTGCAGAGGTCACCTGAATCAAGCCTTTTTTATATTCCTGACGCGAGACTTTCCCCTCAAGACATTCACTCCCCTGCTATAAGTGGGCTGAGCGAGTGATGTTTTAAACAGCAGTGAAAAGATCCTCAGGTATCTCCCCGTTGGTCACTATGTTAAAATGAATTCCACGTAGCTCTTTGTTATGCTCACATTTCTCCTGTTTTTTTGCTTGTGTTGAAAAGCTAAGAGAATGAGTGAATGATAACAAGCATGTGAAAACATTTGCGCAGCAGCAACTTTCTTCAGACATTACAATATTTCCACACTGTCCATATCTCTAACCTGCATTTATCAGGTTTCTACCTTTAAATTGCTGCTTCAGTGCTGCATATACAGGATGGAAAAGTACCTGAGACACACAGAAAAAAAATCATTTAGGAGCAGAAAATTCCCTGGTTTCAGCCGTGTTTCTGTAGGCAGGGAGGGAAACGACATTCCACTGCCGTGGGCCAGTTTCCACTTGAAAAGTCTGGGCTACACCCACTCTTCCCTCTGGTCGTGCAGCAGTTCAAGCACAGTTGTTGCCTTTAAGCTGCTCTGAAAAGACTGTGCTCGGGGAACAAGATGGCATCCCAGCAGATCTGCTCCAGGTTCATGGGGCTGGCCGTGTTTCTGACACTGCTGGCTCTGAAAGGTGAGCTCCATCTTTGGTTTTGCCTCTGCTTTCCTTTTCAGATGTCATATTTGTGGTATTCATTTTGTATATCCTTTGCCATCTGGCCCCCTTATTTATTTGCGTTTATTCCTGGATATTTTTTGTGTACTTGGATGTATGACAGTACCAGCACTTGAAAAGATGAATTACAGCATGTCAGAGTGTGGGGGATCTATAGGAGAAGGTCTTTCCAAAGATGACGATTTTCTCACCAGTTTTTCTTTGACGCTGTCTTCTTCACTCACATCTTTATTGTAACTATGATATGGAAAAGAGCAGCAAAGATAAAATCAAAGTTTTTTCTGTTAAACTGCAAAGGTAGATGGCCAGCACAACAGTTTTATACCATTCATTTTGATCCAGTATGATTTACAACGCATGTACAGGAAATCTATTTCTGATTAAAGACCTGAGACATGGGCCATCCATCATAGTCATATTTACATCTGTTCGAATACTGTGTACATTGAAGTCTGGATTTCATCACAATGCATGCTAATTACTGCCACTACATGACTGCATGAAGGACACAACTCTTTCTTTTTCATTGTTAAGATATTGTCTTCAGACGGCCACAGTGCTGCTCAAAAGTGTCTTCAGCTCACAAGGAACATTTTAATATTCACACACGCACACAAAACCCCTCAAATTCCACATAATCTTCAGGTATGGTGCATTTGTAAACAAAAGCAGATGAGAAATTTGTGCAACATCCTCCAGTCCTCTTTGTAGTTTTCTTTCAAGAAGAAGTCTGAATGAAAACCCAGCAGAGAAATATATATTTATGTTTAAAGAAGATATACTGTGAGTGACTGTGCATCCTCTGTGTACATTTATCATTTTTATAGATTGTCATAGAGCAGGTTGCAGTTCCTTCCCCTGCTGTCATGTTACAAATATCACTCTCTGACTTTCACAGCTTGCTTTGTTGATGTCATGTCCTGCTTTAAACCCCTCCTTCCCTTCCCCACCATCCCCCCACAATTCAACAGGGGGGACTTCTCGCTGTGAGGGACATGTGTGAACAAGCAACTCTGGAAAATGTTGGGGGGCAGCACTTCTGAAAATATAAGACAATCTCAGGAATGTATCAGTAAGACAGACTTAATGCTGTTTTCACACATGCACCAAACTCCTGAAATTTTCCTCAAATTTCTGAAAAGGCTACATGTGCAAATGCATAAAAAACCTTTTCCCTTTAACTTAACCCAGACTTGTCCCTGTCAGACTCCTAGTAGTGAGAAATTGCATAGAGTCTGGGTGAGCCAATGTTAGAACACAACAGATAATAGTTGGAAAAATTCAACAAGCAAATAAGCGACTGTAATATCATGTCACTGGTGCTTTAGGCTCTTGTGAGGAGTTTTTCTTATACCCATAAAATAGATCGAAATTCATATTGATGCCTATTTATGGTATACACAAGCAACTAAAAAGAAGCTCCTTAAATTTGTAAAGGGCAAGATTAGCAAAGGCTGTTTTGTCCACAGGGGGCAGCAAAACTGACACAAACTTCCATTTTAATTAGTGTGGCACATACTGAAGCTTCTTCATACTGCTTTCTCCCTACTACTGTGTTATTTTCCACAAACTGACTGACACCGTGAATATGTCTGTTTGCACATTATTGATATAAAGGTAGAAATTGTCGTAATTATTTCCAACTTTGCTCGCCAACTTGAAAATCTTGAAAATGTAACACTGCAACAACTTAGGAAAATTACAGGAACAGGCAGTCCTGAACTTTTCTAGATTTTTTCTGGAGTGTGTTTATGTGAAATACTTCAGACTTACAGCTATACGGATAATATCTACATTGAGAGCATGGACATGTTTACCACCCAGCATGTTTACATTTATTGGCTGAAAGTGGACTTTTAAAAAACATGTAAACATATCAGTCAGTCTGAAATCACACTAAATCGAACTTCTCAAAGTCAGACTAACATACCTGGATAATGCTGTTGAGGATTTTCTCTTTCATATGTATGGCTAAGTAGGTCTGAAACTGGTTTCAGTGTTAGACGCATGCTCTAGTGTTCTCAAGCCGGGCTTTGAGCCAGAAATTAAAGAGCATGAATGCATTGCTAGGAAGCCGGGATGTCAAAAACCTTAACAGATAAAGAGAAGACATAAAAAGAAGGAAACTTTCCTGACATAAAACCAAAGATCACAGATCTGTAAAAGTGAAGGTGTTTTCTTTGTCAATGTATATCCCATCAGCCTCTTACTAATGTGTTTTAGGGGCTGTTTTGATATGTAATACGTCATCCTGGAGACAACCCAATGATAATACCTTCAGTATGGTCTTGTGGCTTTTAAGACTAACTCATTGCTCTGGCTTTCCAGTAGAGTACAGGAGTGAACCAGAGGGTGAAAATAGTGTATATGTGTATGAATGTTATCACCCCTGAGAAACGTGATGGGTAGATGGATGGATAGATGGGTGGATGGATGGAGCACACCTAGTTCTTGCATTAAAATGCGGAGATATGCTGAATGTTGCACTTTAAGAAAAGTGCAGTGAGAGCACTGAAATGAGAAAGATTGAAAACAGCTCAGACTAAAAGTCACACTGAAGAATGACTCAGACTCTACATGTTATGGACAGATGACTATAGACAGAACAAGCCTCTCACAGGATTGTGTTGTTTGCAGCTTATTTACACCCTAAACTGGAGAAAACCCACATGTTAGCAATTTTCTCAAACCATATCCTCCTGACACTAACCACAAAGTGAAAATGTGTTTCGCTTCAGCTCCGACTCAGTCGACTTTAAGATGTGGACTGGATTTCCATACATATTGTGAGGCACATGGCGTTCTCAGGCTTACATAAAGCACTCAGTTTCATGTTTTAAACTTTCGAAGAAGAGGAGGAGGTGAATGAGCCCCCCAGAGACCTGAGGAATCGTGGCCCAGATGTATGGCGGGGCTTCAGTGCTCTGGGAAAAGGGCTCAGTGCCTCCTCAAGTGTCGCTAACCAGCGTGTGATTGGACTGGCTATGTGCAGTGAGGTACAAGACACCTCATTAGTTCCCACTTTGTCTATGTCTTAAGACAGTGTTTAGCTCTGATGAAAGATGTGAGCAGCAGGAAGGATGTAGTAAATATATTTACATGCAAATTGGTGTCTGAGTATCTATAAGATGTGTGTTGGAAAGCCCCCCCGTTAACCATGCTCCTCGCTCTACACTGACATTTAGGTTTATAATGAAAACGGAGATTGAGCTCAGCCGTGAAACTAGGTTAATTTAAATGAAATAGGGGAAAAGGATGTATGTAAAATTGTTGAAGCTAATAATAAAACTCAGAGCAGATCATGCAGAGCGATCTGGAAAAATGTGTTTTTGATGAATCCCTGACAATGAAGATGAAGCGAGAGTGAGGACTGCTGAACAACATCTGTTAGAAATAAAATGAGTAAAAGGGAAAAGCTTCATTCGAAACATATAAAGGGACATACCAATCAACATAAACCAACTCATTTCATCTTTGTCATGTTCATATTGAGGTTTATTCTGATCTTAACTATAAGGGCTGTTAAAAAATAACAAAAATCCACAGCAGTTTTATAGATACGAGCCTAAAATAAGAGCGTTTAGTTACTTGGACTTCTTTTTAAGGAGCTAAATTGTTCGTCTGCGTTTCCACTAGAGGCCTGAAGTTGAGGGTAAATGATGCTAATCAGGTCAATGACATCCAGAGAGGGTACTTGGAAATGGAATTACTTGTACAGCTCTTTACTCAAATCTCTGCTGAGTTGTTTTATTTTTTTTATGAAAAAATCGTTCACAAATCACATTGGCAGCAGGCAAGCTGTGATAATTATTATATAGCATCAGGCTATATGGAATATTTGTCCTTGTGCTGTTGCCTTTGGTGCCTCTATCTGTTTAACCTTCTCTCTGCTCAGCTGGTGTCGGTGTGTAAAATGTACACCAGCCTTTAGGGTAAACAAGATTGTTTCCTGATGAGATTGACCTGTTAAACTGTTATAACACACAAAAGCATCCCTGAGATGGAAAAATGTACATAAACAGAGTCAAAATTCCTGTATATACATAGCTTTACTGCTCTTATTACCTTTAGGTTTTGGAGAATATAATCCAGAATCTCCCCTACCTGCTCTGTGTGTGTGTGTGTGTGTGTGTGTGTGTGTGTGTGTGTGTGTGTGTGTGTGTGTGTGTGTGTGTGTGTGTGTGTGTGTGTGTGTGTGTGTGTGTGTGACAACCTGTTTTTTTAATGTGAATGAAATCATCAGGCCCTGCCTCCCAAACTCCCCAAGCCACTGAAAAGTACAACCCCCTGAACTGGGCCTTCTCAAGAAGTAGATCTTGTACCGCCCAAATTATCCAAAATAAGTATTTAAACTCAAAACTGTCATATGATAAACGTCAATGAAATAAAATGAAATGCATCATGGTGCTTTTTTATGATGATTAAAAGCAAAAAAGACCATCACTGACATGATTGATGATTTTTATTTTGGAGCTTTTCATGCCTAAAAGCAGAACAAGGGGGTAGGTGTCAGCCAAGCAGCTGAAGAAACAGCCCCAATTTCATATTTTACACCAAAGATACCTTCTTCATTTGACTGTCAAAAGTCAGCAGTGAGATATTTTTGTAAATAGACTCGACTAAAGCAAGACAAGGAAAAACTGTTTTGTCCACAGGGGGCGCCAAACTTGACACGAGCTGAAAGTTTGCCATAGGAGCTTTGATAAGCATTTCAATGTGTTATTATTTTAACACAAAGGGGGCCTTGTCTTTGTGTTTACTAATCTGTGACACTAAGATACACAAAGTTTTTGTTATTATGAGTAAATACACCACAATTCACGAAGCACTGAGGACTCGGGGAAAATGTTTCAAGTGAAGTGAAGTTGTCTGATTGCAACCTGCAGACTAATGCAGAGGGAACTCTACTGACCTCTAAAAGTAACGGCTCTACTGAGGATAGCACCTGTTTTCTTTTAGTTGCTATTGACTGTCTATGGTAATGACAATCAATGAATAAGGTTAAGCAGCATGTCTTCCTGTAATGTAGTGCTTCTCAAATTAAGGAAACATGCAAATGATTGTGACAAATCAAAGATTGTGATTAATAAGATGACTTCTCCAATTGTTTGACAGCATAAATGTTTTCTCTACCTGCACTAAAACAATATTTGTCCCATTTTCGACTGTGCGTCTGATTTTCTCAAGATGAAGGACAGCAGATTTCATTGTTAAATAATTAATCTGGATTTTTAACTAACCTGCTGTGAAGGACGATGTCTCTCATTTGTTTCCTCTTGCCTCTCCTCAACAGATGTATCCAGTGACAGCAGCCTGCACAAAATCTTGAGGAAACGAGAGGGTAACATTATGAATAAATAAAAGAAATAAAACATTTACTCTTGAAGAAACAAAGTGTGGAACAGACCAGTTTATTCTGTTCCCTCTGTGTACCTTCCCCCAGTGGCAGGAGCAGGTACTGCCCCCTCAAAGTCCTCCATCGCCGTGCCGTCCTCCAAGGCTCAAGAGTTCCTGGCTAAACTGAGCCGAACAAAGAGGAACATCTGGGATCGCAGCCGACCAGACGTGCAGCAGTGGATTATGCAGTTTATGCACATGGGATATGATGAGCAGGTGAGTTGTGTTTGTTCACAGAGTTCAAGTTTCCTCTGAACTCTTCAAGTCCCAAAACACAACAAAGCCCCCAGTGGAGCTGTCAACAAGACAGGATTTCTGCAAAACAAAACTGATCCACATAACAAACAGGACATGGATTTACCCCCCTCTGAGAAATGACCCTGCCTATGAGGGAAAGAGCACGCACACATACACACGCAGAAACAGAAACAGAAACAGAAACAGCAGGGAAACGCTGATTCTGAGCTCCATGTTTACTTTGTTTTTGACCAGCAGCATAAATACTTCAAGTTCTGTGAACAAAATGTTTCCATGTGGTGATTTTGAAAAGTTCACTTGTATGTTTCCTAAAAAGACCCCAACCTTTGTTTTCATTCCAGGACTGAAATGAACTCTGCATAGAGATGAGGAGTTTTCAAGAGCTGCAAAGAAAAAATAAAGCACTACAGGCAGACATCTATTGGATCATGTGCACAGGGTTTTAGCTAATGTTTTGTAGTCCTGAAAGCTAAGCTAAAACCCAACCAAAAATCTTGACTCACTTCTTCAAATCTTTTTCACAGGGTTTAAGTGGCTGTGGTCAAGTTTTGAAATATATTGTAACACTCTTAAGTCATTAAGGACTCAGTAATGGGTGACTATAAACTTGTTCTAACGTACAGTATAATTGGTGTCAGCTGAGCAGCTCAAGAAACATGTTTTTACAATTTCAGCATAACATATCCTCTTTTTCTTGAATCTCTTCCTTTTCTAATTGCTAGTAAACCGTTCAACTTTTTAGGCCCGTCTATTCCTGTGCATCTGTTACTCTTATTAAAAAAAAAAAATGGTTTCAGCTAGAAAAGCTTAAAGACAGAATTTTGGAGACTTCTGTCTCTCTCACTCATAGGATGTGTGAATCCTATCAAAATGGTGCTACCCCCCAAATTTTTGAGTTATTTTTTTCAATATTCCAGTTAAACTCTCCCCCCAAATTTTATAAAAACCTTGATTCAGTTATATTACTTTTTTATGCAATCTCCAAGGCAATCAAACAAAACTTTCAGAAACTGTGGGGGTTATTCCTCCAAGTATTCCAACATTATCTTGGCCTGTTAATGTCAGACTTTACCTACAAAACCAGTTTCTCCAAACAAGTGTGCTCCATGATACATCCAAGTGGTTGCAAAGGGAGTCACAAGCAGTGAGAATTATTTCAGTCCTCCTGTTTCCTGAAACAGGTGTCAGGTACAAGATAGCAGAAGTCACTCCAGGTCATGTTTGTTGGTCATGCTCATGGATGTACCTTTTTGTCCAGACATCTTTGACTAGTATTTTAAAATTTATGATCTTAAGATTGAAGCTGATGCATTAATCACCTCAATTACAGTTGAGCAGAGACTTTTAACTAAGTGCTAATTTCCTGATGACATGCTGAATGAATAAATGAATAGATACAAATGTGGGACTACCAAAAAGGAAATGTAAAGATTCCTTATTTTGCAGAAAATCCAAGTCCAGGTGCAGACCTAGTTTTGGTTCTCTCTCAGGTATCTGACTGTCATATAGAATTCACTTTGGGGACAGTGAGGAACCAAGGGAGCAGATAATGTGGACGGAAAAAAAAAAGCCAGAGTGCACAACATCATCTCGTACTGCCACCATTTTTGACAGCTGACAGGGTTTTCGTTTCGGCCTGTGGAGCAGTCGTTCCCAGGGATGTACGCTGTTGGATGCTGCTTCCTTAAAAGGCCAGAGCGGTGAAAGCATTGGCCTTTTCAACATTTGCCTTCCATCCGTGTCTGTGCTCATGACAGTATAAGAGGAGACCTTATCAGCTGCCTCTTTGTCTATTGGCTTGGGATTTGTTGAAGCTGAGTTTCCTAACAAGCCGTGTCGTTCGGGGTGTTTTTTTCTCTTTCTCTGACTAGAGGCTGGAGGCCGACCTGTCATACTGGATGGACCACGCTCGCTCCACTGATCAGGGGCGTCAGCATCACTATGATGAAAACTCCCCAATCGGCCCGCGGTACCCTGGATCCTACCGACATGGAGCTAATGTCAACTATGACTACTATTAACGCCAGTCTGGGATAGTCTGCTGGTCTGACACCTGTCATGTAGCTGTCAACATCTGATTGCTCTGCAGCTGCTTCAGCCTCGTTGTTTTAATTAACTACATCCGACCGTATGACCCCGTATTATTGATGCCCTAGGTCCATTCTCATATATCAGTACTAAAGATGGAGATAATGCACAGAATTTGACCCTCGAAATGCATTGCCTATGATTAACAAGTAAGTTTTTATGCAGCTGATTTCTGTAAAATACAGCTAAACTCTGCCTTTTGTTGCATAACTAGATTTTTGTAAATAAAGATGTGGCTCGTACTGCCCAAGCTCACTGTTTTTCTTCACTTCCAATCTGAAAAAAAAAAAGGGTAGAAATGATCACCTTCTTGTCTTATAAGATCATTCACAAAATATTGGAAATATTTTATTAAAACAGCATCATCTGAGATAGATAATGCAAAACCTGACATAAGATTTCACAAAGTAGAACACCATTATGTCCTGATAAACACATAATAATTCTGTAACAGTCTTTGTGGAGGATTTCTTTCCCAGCCCCGCGGTGCTCTGCATGAACAGCCAGCGGGGCGCTTGCACGCTGCTGATAAGAGCACAAAACATCCAGTGGAGAAAAAAAACCAAACCAAATAAGCCAGGTAGCTCACCTCTGGAGACACAACAGCATGAAACTGATAAAATGAACACAAAAGCACTGATTCACAGCACAAGCTGTTAGCATGATTCTTAGTTTGTAATTTAAATAGCAAAAGCAAAAATTCACAAAAAGGTAGGCTGGGTTTCAGATTTCTTTTTTTCTTCCTTGATTGAGTTTTGTCCATCCGACACAAAAGTTCCAGACTTCAGCCCTTTTTTCCAGAGTACAGTCAGCCGAAGATCCGACACAAGGCAACAACAACAACAGCTCATTTGAGTAGTCTGTCCTTTAGAAAAAGACAATATCCCAGAGTGCTTTACTCGACAGTGTATTTTAGGCAGTCCCCCTTCAAGGGTCCCTTCGGGAGTCTTTTCACTTCATTCTGATTCAGCAGAGTCTGTGCTCAGACGCCTGACCTCAGTTGTGCCGGGGTCTTCCTTTCTTCATGCGGGCAGCTTTAGGTTTGGGGATGTACTGGTTGTTGGCCTGGTGCTCCAGTTCTCTGCTGAAGTACTGGATAGTTTTGTTTAAGCCTTCCTCCAACGGCACCTGTAAATGAGAGACAGCATAGGGTGATATGATGGAAATGAGGTGTAAATGAAAAGACTGGCCATGTACTTTCCTGTTAATGATGAACTATTGATAGAAGCTGCCCTAATATCCCTACAGAACGGTGTGTGATTACTCATTTAACTGGAAAATATCACCTGAAGACATCAGATACACCTGCATCTTTCCTGCGGTTTAATTTGGATGATAGTTTTTAATGAGCTCAGTTCTCTTTCAGATGAATATGTCACATAATCAATACAGAGTTAACAGTTTAATGGAAGTGAGTGAAAAAAGGATCACATGTCATTCGTTGCTTCAGAATAAACAACAAACATGTGAATGATTTCTTATCTAAGCATTCATTTCAACTATAATAGAGAGAGTAACAAGAGAGTAATGGATAAAGTTTAGAGAGCAGGTTGTGGTTTTGGGGTTGTTATTAATTGGCTGCGTTGGTGCTTGAATCTGATTGGTCAAACCTCCATAAAAACAACGATGGTGATTCTCAACTCTCTCCTGTTTACACAAATAAACACACATATGGGTTACAATATCAACAAGCCAATCACAGAGCAGCGTAGGCCAACTTCACACAAGAGCCGTGAGTTGATGACACGTCAATTTTGAGGTCTCACTAGTAAGTTACCGCTCAGCTTTCGAGACGAAGCTGCTGACCCCTCCAGCACAGAGTCACAGAGCAGCTCATCGGCTGGAGTTAGTGACGTCTTTGCCTGAACGGGCAAATAAAACACTGGAAGTGACAGACAGACCTTACAGGCACTGTTACACAGCTTCTGACTGTGGAGATGAGGATGTTTTCTACGAAGGAGAAACCACAATTCAGGTCAGTGCTTCAGAAACTTGACAAGCAAGAACAAAACGCCCAAACCTGTTATTTCAAAATGAGTGGAGGTTAATGCTGATGTTAAACCCTGTTGAAAGTCCACCTTCCAGAATCCAAGTCCAGAAAAGGACTTTATCTAAATGCGTTTTATCCATTAGGATCTGTGGATTACTTTAAATCTACAGAAGGTTGCTCAAGTTGTCTGTGATCCATCTTATTATGTAAGAGCAGCTTTGGCCCCTCCCCCTTTTCTCAGATAACCTCAGCGTAAATTTCATCGCTGTTGGGAACTCAGGCTTGTTCAGTGATCTAGATCGTTTGGCTTAGCAGGCACTGGCTCTGATTATACAAGAGTAACACTAATAATCAGCTTTTTACAGATAAATGGACGTACTTAATAATATCACATTCACAAGTGTTGAGCCACCCTGAATCATCACCCTATCACACACAAATCAAATCAATCTGCACAAAGGATATCACACACAAATTAGAATGACATCACCAGCCTGTTGGCACTGTGGCAAAAAAAAAGCTAGTTTCTGTCTCGGAGGGTCTTAAGAGTCAAGGAAAAAGACAGAATGATGACTGTGCACAGATATGGGAACAGCCTTGAGAATGAGACAAGGCCCCTCTGTCTCTTAAACTGCGGGTCCTGCTCCCCCTGTTGTAGGGTCTCTCCAAGTTTCACCAAGTCAAATTTAAGACTTTTCAAGACTTTTTAAGACCCTACATTTTACATCCATAATGGCAAAGAAGTACTAAAGACTCGAAGGGAAATCTGAAGATTTTACACTACTGTAAATTAGTCTTTATTTCTATGGCACATTATTTAATTGTAGGGAATGTTACATTTTGAAGACCTTTCAACATCGTATTTAAGACATTTTAATAGGGGTTTTAAGAGAATTTTTGACATTTAAAGGCCTTAAATTCAAATGATTGGTTTTTAGATATTTTGAGATGTATTAAGACCCCACACATACCCTGTGTTGGGATTTTAATTCACTCACCATACACACTTGGATCCCTGATGCAAAGCAGAGAGAACTTGTCTCGCCCTGAAGAATTTGGTAACTTAAGCCTTTTTATAATGACATAACTTTGTGTTATTACTCACATTAAACTGAACATTTCCTCTGGGGGAGAAGTACAAGGAGGTGAATGACACATCATAATTCAGTGCAGCGCCTGATACAGTTTTCCTGTCTTGTCAGTGTCAGTCAGTGACATTTTCCATTTATCAGTCCTTTAACACAGCAGTTCAGCTGAGGGTCCAATCTTCAGTTTAGTAGAAATTCACTGTCGCCCACACAAATTTTTTTTGTCTTTGATACCCCACCAGAAACAAACAGACGGCTGATCATTGCACAATGGTTTCTATTTCACTGCAACAGTCTGTTTTCAGGATATAACACATGATTGGATAAACAGTCACTATGCTGAGACAAAACAGATGAAAGCGGTGAACACAGCTGTGTTTAACACTGAGTAAAGCAACCCACTGCTCTGGGCTTATGAGAAACAAAACAATTAACAAAAAAAATGTTTCCTACTTAGATGATCTGAGGTTTTGCAAACGATCAAACAATGATATCAGAGTTAATCTTTTAAAGACAGACTTGATTTCGTGTCATTATGAGCAGAACTTACGACGGAAATAAATCATTAAAGTCATTTTTTGTTCAATGTGGCTCTGAATGCCAAGTGACCACTGATTGAGAGACTAATGTATTACCATATTAATGTAAATGTAATGTTTTATCATTAATCCGGTGAATCATCCTCTGTATAAAAAATTCAGCTTGCGATGAGAAAGCTCTGTTTATAAATCTTTCACTGTGCGGCATGAGGTGTGTAACAATGAGAAAACCGGAGACTTTAAATGCGCAATCTGCAGATGTAATGCTGATCACCTGTTGCAAGTATTTGGTCATATTTGCAGCACTGTCACGGCCGATTAAAAAGGTAAGGTTTGTGTGTGGGCATGTGAGAAATTGCGAAAAGTCCTGCTGACTGAGACTCGGCTCTGTGTCACACGTACCACTGGCTCCCAGCCAAGCATCATCTTGGCTTTTCTGATGTCAGGTCTTCTCCTCTGTGGGTCGTCCTGAGCCTCGGGGAGAAACTGGATCTGACTCCTGCTCACTGTGAGAGGGAATAAATGAGAGAGAGAAAGAGAAAAAGTGGGAGTTTTAATTCACAATCTAAGCGGAAACATATTTTTTCTGCTTTTCACTCCTACATAATCATACAATATCAGTTTTGTGGGAGGGAGTTGACACAGGTTGACGCTGCTGCTTGAATGCACTGATAGTATCGTGCATGGGCGATGTACAACTGGAACTGACATGCTTCATGATCTGGCTACATAACGACACCCACAGCTGTGACTAGATGTTTCTAGTGGTGCAGATCAAGACATCATCATGTAGGATTTCTGGTTTTGTGGTTTAATGCTCCCACTGTTTAACATATCATACATACGTGTTGCACTCGGATAATAGTGAAAGCACAATTTGTCTCATATAACATACATTTGAACAGCATGAAGACCATACATGTATCTTACATTTACGATACATATACTGCTATCAAACTAAAGGGATTAAATGCTATTCCAAAAAACAGATCACTGTCCATGTGAGAATGGGGAGGATGGGTGAGAGAAAACAGACAACAAGACGAGTGAAGTGAGAGAGGGATATTAAGAGATAAGCAAGCAAACAAGCGAGTGAAGGCCTTATGGGACAGAGACTGAGATGGCATGGGCCAGATGTGGGCAGCGACACAAATTTATAGCTATCTCCATCAATGTGACACCTTACCGACGAGACCTTTGATGAGACGAGCAAACTCCAATATGGTGTGTTCCTCTGGGTTTCCCTGTAAACAGATTTCATAAACTTCCATCAGATCAGTGTCAACAAGAGGCAGACGCACCGACTGAAGCGCCGACCAGTAAATTGTCTGCCGGCAGAATCCATTTTCCACTTCAGTTTGTAAAACATGAACTCACCAGATTGACTGGACTACTGATGTTACTGTTCATCAACAAGACGAGGCCGTTCACCAGGTCACTGCACAACAAAACAGACATGAGGCAGAGATCTTCAATGTGTTTCTGACATGAAATTACTGTGGAACTTTGCCGTGTAAGAGGAAAAGAGTTTTATTTATGAGAACATACGGTATATGGGATACAAATACAAATGTACACACTGGCACAGACCGATGATTCTTTTATTAATGCTTTTCTGTCTCATCACAGAGGTACTAATGTTTTGTAACCATGTGTGATCGGCCACTTCAGCGTGTACTCTCTTTAGATCTCATTTTCTCTTCAGAACATTGTGCCAAACATTATGTGCCTTCCTGGCTGTTGTCCTTTACCTTTTGTTCAACGGAAATACAGTTTAATGTTAATGTGACTGTGCTAAAAGCGTTCTTATGTTATACATAACGCCCCAGCCTGTCTGCATAAGCTTTAACCATAGAATGGAGAAAAGAAAGCAGAGACAGGGTACCGTCTCTGTATTAAAAAATAATACATTGACAGGATTAAGAGTGTAAGGCAATGCAGCTCTGCGAGGCTGTACTGCTGCAAAGAGCTGCTTCTGATATGACCTGTAACCCAACATACGAAGCTAATATGCAGATTTTTTCATGCTGAGAACAGAACATGTTAGTGCAGCATGTACTAATTAATAAGAAGGTCGCAGAGCGATATAAAATAAAAAATTTAAATCCCATCTGGCCAAGGTTTACCAGTTCTTCAAACACATTTCCCACTCCAACGCATACCTACACATTTCAATGGTACAATTCTGTCACTATGTTAGACCCTGACATTAGCAGGTGTATGCAAACAGAGATAATGAGACGACAGACTACCTCACTTAATTTCAGCCTGAGATTTAGTTGATGCAGGTTTACAATAAAAATCAAGCCCGCAGCCTTGCTTCATTTCCAATTCAATTTGCTCTACTTTAGTGTAAATGTCAAATTTGCATTTATGAATACATAAATAATTCACCGGGGAGGGTATTTTGTCCATTCTAGTTAAATCAATGATAGTACACTACAACACAGAAATACCTCTGTGTGTAACGGACAACGCTACAGGATAATTAAAAAAACAGAAGCTTCAGATAGTCTAGGGAGGGGCTCAATACCTTTCAACAAATTGGTCCATTTTGACCCTCATATAAAGGAGGGATTTACTGCAGATGTGTTGACTTACATATTTTGAAATGATGGATTTAAGCGTAAATTAATATAGATTATTGCATTATGACTGACCACATGAAAAGGTCAGAAAAAAACGTGTGTCTTGTGTAGTATTGTGGTGAATCAGAAAACAACTTATGTTTCCAGTCTAGATTCCCAACCCAAACATCATCCGTTGGATCACTGAGGTGATGATGTTTTTGTCATTATTCAGGTCACAGATCATTTACTTTCTTTTGGTAAACTTGTTCTTTACAACCAACAAAATGCAGTCAGCAGAAAAAATGATATCAGGATGTACATCGACAGCACAAATGCTCCAAAAGGTTACAGTGCAAAACACAGCAGTAATCCTCTAATAAAACCTGGCTCCTGAGAGCAGGTAAAAAAAAAAAAACAAGAACAGCCAAGATAACATGAAACAATATATGTTGAGCTGTTCTGCTTGGCCAGTTTTCAATCAGAGCCCCCCTGATCTAGATTAACTGTTCAAGACGGCCGACAAGAGGTGGGTGTATTTCCGATGAGGATAATTAATACAACCTCAGCTCCAAAAGTTAGGATGCTGTTTAAAATTTAAATTAAAACAAAATGTGATGGTTGTCAAATCATTTAAACCTTACCTTTAATTAAAAATAATGTACAGGTTTAAACTAAAAAATATTGGCTCATTTTAAATTTGATGCCAGCAACACAGTTCAAAACAGTTGGGTCAGGGGGGATATTTGCCATTGTGTTGCATCAGCTCTTCTTATAACATTATTTGGAGATCATGAAGTCTAGCCTCTAGAGTTTTTCAAGAGAAATGTTGCCTCATGCTTGTCTGACAGGATTGCTGATGCTCAGCAGGTCTCCTTCATTGTGTTTTCTCTATTAACAACGTATCATATCATAAGCTGTCAAAAGTTGACAAGTTGAACCTGTAGGCAGGCCGAATAAACTGCTACTACATTTATATACCAATTTGTTAGACTTCAGGACAGCTTTCTCTTCACATTGGTCCAGTTTAGACAGGCTTGTATCTGGATTTGATTTCTATTTGGGACATTATACTGAAATTGTTCAACTACTCGCTCACACAAGCTGCGTTCAAATGGGCACAAATAATCGGAATAAATGCCCAAACAGAATATAAATGCGTCATGTAAACATGTCGATCGGAAGATTCTGATCCAATTTGGCTCAATCGGAAAGAAATTGTATTCCAATCGAGAGAGGTGGTTTATGCCGATCGTTATTCCGAAACGCGTCCATGTAAACACTTATTCCGATCGTGACTCTCTTACCTGACTTGGTCGTCACTCTTCAGCCTTTGGCTTATTTATTGAGGTCAGTACAGGAGGTTTCATTATTAACACTATGGCATAAAACACAACTGCAGGTGCCGTGTCTGCCCCTCCGGTAACATAACATAAGCATACAGCAACCTTTGACAGAACAGTAAAAGAAGTACGCAAGGGCACCATCTAGTGACAATATTTAACAGGGGGAAAACTCCTGAATTTGATGGAGTGAGCCACTACTGCGTTTGTTGGTTTGTTGACAACCCTATTTCTGCGGTTGTTTTAGCTAAATCAGACAACTCTGCGTAGGTCCAAAAGTTTCTAATCTAAATAAAGCTTGGTGCATGTATACGCACCCATATACATAGTGGATTCAGATTAGCCGATCCCTCAAATTTTTCTTCGGATCAAGAAATTTTGTCCATGTAAACATGGCTACTGTCTCTCACAGGCCACTGAACCTCTTTCTATCTCTGCCCTTTTCACTCGTGTTTCAAATGAATGTAACTATTCGGGGGATGCTCAGGGTTTTCTTTTGGCGAAGTAATATGTGCTGTCATCGTCAAATTTAATATGAGCATTCTCATAAAACAACCACATTTTGAAGACGAGTCATTTGTGCACTGTTTTCATTTAAGAATAGGGTTCAAATGATCTTCAAACCACCAAAATCTGTTAGTTATGAAGTCTGAATGAACCATTTTATTCGTCTTCATTTGTTAACAGCATTGACCAAGCACATTCAACCCAAGCAGCATTCAGTTCATACTAGTCCAGAAAACTCAGGGACTAACAGCAGGGATCAGGGTCAGCGAGCGGGCACTATTATCCCTTCACAGCGCTGCCCGCTGCAAACAGTGAGCACTATTTAACCAGAAAGTGACTCATATGTGCTTCTTTTATGAGCTCTACCCTAACTCATAGTGCTGGTATGTGCTACACACAATGTAATGTCACAGAGGGAGAGTACACCAACAGTACATGGAACAACAGGCACACAGTAAAACCACATTTTTTCATGACCTATTATGAGACTCATGGCATGCACTGCGACACTGGGGAATTCAGAAAATATGCCGTTCAAAAGTAGAAAATGAGCACAAACTGACCCAGAGGAGAAATGTCAGGGCAGTAAATAATGCTGGTCAACTGATTAAACTGCTCCTTTAAATGCACTTTCAGTTTGTCAGTACTCCCAGATGCCTGTGCTTAAGAGGTTAATTAAAAAACAAGTCATATCTGCAAATGCATTTTTATCTAACCTGTCACTCTTAAAGGCACACGCCTTCAAGACTGTCTCTTGAACCAGCGACAGTGGCTACCTTCCAGGGCTCTAAAACAACTATTCAGGTCTCCCTCTTCATCTTAGGGGTCAAGCACATTTAGGATTGTTCTGTGACATTGACCAAGCGTTGATGTGAAAGCCTGAACTGTTTGTAAGCCTGAAACAAAATGAGCTTTTGTAAGATGGTCGAATACATGAGCTTGTCATCAGCAGAGTGAGCCTGTACAATCAATCCTGTGTGAAAAAGACTAAAGAACAGATTGATCGACTCTTTTCTTCTGTCTGAAGTCGATAATCTACTGATGTAAGGGATTTAAGCAAAACACTCAATGTGTTTTTAAATAACAGTGATGTGCACCAAGGAAAAACAGATGCAGAGAGGTTCTTAAAGGGATATTCCGGCGTAAAATTAAGTTAGGGTCCAACACACTGTAACATCGAGTTAGACACCCCCTTGAGAGATGAATGTTGCTGACCGCTTGCTTCACTAGTTATACCAACTTTAGTAACAACCTAAGTTATGATTTTTTTAAAATTATTTTCTTGAAGTTATAATCATCATATTAATCATTTTACACTGCAGACGCCGTAGTTCTTCTGCCTTAACTTCTCGGTATGATTACATTTCCATGAAAAAATGATCCCAAATGTTCTTCCTTGAGCTGTGTCACCCCGCTGCAGTCGATGATGGACTCGTCCAAGGTCTCCCTACAAACAAGTGGCTGCTGGAGGAGAGTGGGTGAGTTGTGTTTAGTCTCTATGCTAAAAAGATGTTTGGTGGCTAGTACTATGGCTGGGAGCCTATATGTACTGTTGATGAAGTTAGGTGCTGCTCTGAGCATTATTTGTGGCTATAGAGTGGCGTTTTGGCTGAGGTTTGTTTATGGCTCCTGAAACCACTGTGTATTGCTAACGTGCAGTTGTTACTTAAGTTGGTATAAATAGAGAAGCAAGTGGTCGGCAACATTCATCTCTCGAGGGGGTGTCTAACTCGGTGTTATGGTGTGTTTGACCCTAAATTAATTTTATGCCGGAATCTCCCTTTAAACAAATGAAGTCTTTTGAGGGAGCATCTGAAGAGACAGGACTCTTCTGGGGATCCCCTGAACACTCAGACATAATATACAAGTCACTCATCAGCAAAACAAGACCTCAAGTTTTAATGACCGTTTACAAAAAGTCTTGGCAGTTTAACAGAATCACCTGCAACTTAAGAGCCTGGACCGGGTTATTACCATTTCCTTCACTGTCTGAGAGGAAGTGTTTTTCATTAAGGCATGGCAATTAGAAAAAGAGGAACAAGGGCGTTATTTCCTCTTTCTTTAATTCTCCAATTTTATCTCTGGAGTTCTCCTCCTTCCTCACTGCATTAAGCTGTGGCAGGGAGACATTTCTTATGCAATCATTATTGACTGATGATTAAGGTTTCATCCAGCGTGGATTCTCAGGGCTAATGACGTCAAGATCCTGCTCCATTAATTTTAATTTTGTCCAATTTCCTTAATTCATTATGCATATTTCTCCATCAGGGGATCATGCATTCAGTGCGGTATGTAGAAGAGAGAGTGAGTGAATCTATTCATGTCCATTACTGCACCAATTTGCTTTATATGTTGTGTGCATGTTCTCGCCTGTTTGCTCAGTCTCTTGTGTTTGCAGAGATTCACAAATTTAAAATAACTGCTCTATTGGTTGTGTGACGGCATCACTGATGAGCAACAGGCACTTGCTGTTGATGATGCACAACATGAAACTCTCAATAGAGGTGAGCGTAACAACTCACTCATTAGCTACATCTATCATCGGGTCCAGGAGAGCAACACAAAAACAGGTGGTTGTGTTGTTTTAACCAGAGGTGTTCAAGGACACATGCACAGATAAAGAGAGGAATCACTCATTCTATGACACCCCCAGTGCAGACGCTAGCCACGTACAGTGAGTCCCTGTTTGAAATGTATTGTTAGTTGTACCTGTAGTGTGGCTCTACAACAGCAATGAAGGATAGTGTGTGCTTTGCAGGTCGAGTCTATTAATCACTGAATATCTGGGTCTTTACAGTATCTGCTGCCTACAGCTGCTGTTTACGCAAGTAAAAGCTTCTCCTGCAGTTTCAAAGAAACCCCAGCAGCATCTGAAGGAAGCAGAACTTCATTTCTTGATTAATTTGCAGCCTGGGAGACGGGCTGTGCTGCAGCGAGGTGCTGTTACACACAGCTGTGCGCTGTTTACATCCATATGTAATCAACAAACCTGTAAATGAAAGAATCTGTATCTCATGACTACCATTTGGACTTTTGATGGTTTGGGGAGACAACTCAAATGCGGTTTTTAAAGACACACACAAGGACATAAAAATAAAGCAGCAAATAAAGACAGTTTTCCTGACAGCTTAAAAGCCGGTTTAATATGTTTTTTGTTTACGTGGGCAGTTAATTGGCAGACTTTTATTCCTTGTTTTGCTTCCTCTTTTTTCAGTCAAATCTAAAATCTTACCAAGATTAAAAAAGAAAAGCCCATGAGAGTACTCAACGGGTGAATTACACTGTAGTGGTTGAAACTGCTACCACATCACTTCATTAAAACTTTATAAAGAGGAAGGCGAGGATATGAATGAGGCGAGGAGAGGAGCTAGCTAGAAAACTGGATTGATTTGACGGAAATGCGGCTAATGAAGGTCCTTCGGAGTTTCATAGAATTTCTCTCAAAGGAGACTTTTCTCAATGACCTTGGCATATACAACACTTAGGAGACAGGCAGAAGGTGAATGCCTCATAAAGATATGAGAGCTTCAAATGCTCTTTGTCTCTGATCTTTCTATTTCAAAGTGATCAAATTAATCTCACTATCACCCGCACACACACCAATAAATACTCTTTTAACCTGCCGTGAACAAATATATCAGCTCTACCAGGCGGGACAACGCACACATGTTGGTATCAAGCTTCGAACTACAAAGTCAAACTTAAAGCAGTTACCCTCTGCCTTATCCTCAACTCATCAGTCTACGTAAACATCAACATCCACACAAGCCTTTGAGAACAGCAGAAGAAACACTCTTTTTTTTTCTTTCCCAGTGGCAGAGGTGATGACTCACACAACATCAACTGCATGAGTTTTTTTCTTTGTAATAACGCAATCATTAAGATGACTCCTTTGGATGATATTGTGACAGTACTACAAGACTGTTTCCTGACTAAAACATGAAATCAAAAGTGAACAGTCATGGATTTGTGCTAGGAATCAGCAGTCTTACCTCACATACTGAAAGGCTCTTGTTTGGGAACCAGTGCCGTACACCTAAAAATGAAAAGTGATCGTTATTTCATCAAATAAGGTACACAGAATTTATTAAACAATGTTAATACTGCACATATTGTTGTGGTTTCTAAATTTTGAGCCACTAAATTTGATCATCTTTAGTCCCACTGGCAATCACCATCTATCTACATGATGCTGAGAGGTGTATGCCCTTCTAGGAATGGACAACAACTTAAAGTTTCAAGCCAAGACTTCTTTTCTATGCTGTGCTCATGCTCATTATTTAGTCTACAACATCCCCCAGGAGAGTGCCTGTTCATCTTTTTCATTTAGCAGCAGGCTCAGCAGGAGACATGCAGGTGCTTCATTTCAGCTTAGTTAAAGTAAACCCAAAAAAGGATCCTATTTTTGAGATTTATTCAATTTATCGGACTTCAGTTCATAGAAATAACATCATTAAAAAGTAAATGTGAGAAGTGAAACGTCAACTTTGTCAGGTCTCCCCTCAAGAAGGAAAAAAGACAACTTTTGAAACTGAAATTTTGGATTTGGTTTGTTAGCTGCACTTCATGAGGACATAACTAAATCACCCTCAGATTACTGCCAATGGGAGCTGGGATGTGTGTGGTCTGACTGTTTTTGTTCTCCACTGACTGTTTTTTCTTGTATACTCCAGTGCCCGCTTAAACATGACTGGTCAGCTTTGACTACAACACTCCCCAACACTCCCCATGCTGAAAATCTGGAGCCCATGTGCAGATTCTGTGCTTTAAGAGGAATTTTAATAAAGGGTTAGTTAAGTGATTGTCAAATTATGACTGAGATTAAGATATTTTGCTTCAAAACTTGTTTGTTTTTAATTGGGGGATATGATTTCTTTGTCTGACAAATTTCTTTCAATTAAATATTCATTGGAAACTTTTATAACGCTACTTCATTATCTTCAGCCCTGAGAGACAGAAATTACTTTTGGTTTAATGAATCGTTATCTTTTGTTTGTACACTGTACACTACTTCTATTTGACTCATATTACCAAAGGGACCTGTGTCCTTGCTGGGAGTACTAAATTTTCTTTGCTAGAGTTCAATCAACATGCATTTGTGTGATTTTACGAAGCAGATTTCATAAATGATTAAACTTTGCTACCTGCACAGAAGGAAAAAGCCCCAGAGAAGTCTTTGTAGCAATGAGGTGCATAATTATTAGAAATCTTTAACCGCGTACAGTGAGAGGTTCTCCCTGTAGAGCCTGCAGGATGAAGTTGCTGACTACACGTCCATCATTCATGTGCATCCGGGAGCCAAAGGTGTTGAAGATTCGTGCCACCCTCACCTCTACTCCTTCCTGCGAGCAACGGGCCAAGAAAGAAAATGAAATGTAGACATTCAGAAATTTAAATTTTATCTCTTTCTGTGTACGTATGAAATATCATTACCAATCAATGCACAGAAATGGCAGCAAGAAGGGGTTTAATGCTCATATGGATCATACTTATAAATTCATAATTCAATGTCAAGAAAGATTAGTGGAAAGTGAATTGAACCCCCCCATGATCAAATACCTGCAGCGTGTATCACATATTCTACAGTACACTGCGCGTATGCAGTTTTTATAGTGCCTTATGTAATTTCCATTACATGATCATATCAAGAGAACACATGTCGCATTAAATATGGTAGTTATCAATCACCTGCAAGTAAATATTTCCCAACCAGTCATGAGTCAGCCTGTCCTTCTCAAATCTAAGTCAAGTAGCAGCACTTTTCAATAAACCTGTAAATGTGTAAATGGCTGAAAAAACATATTTAAAAAACAGAAAAACACAAAGGCAGGTTCATCTATAAAGTACATTTCAGCTACAGAGCAAATCAAAGCGACATTAAAAGGCTTTAAAACAATTGTTTAGAGGTCTGAAAAATGCAGTGGAGGGAAACATGTAAAAAATCATTAAAAAAGGGACATTTAAAACCATTGAAACAAGCCAGGCAAAACTGCTGGAAACTGGAAAATACAAAAATTTAAATATGTTAGACTATTAGGGTTCCTACCCAAGTATGGAAAAAATGAAAAATAAAGTATGGAAAAATATTTATGTTTCCAGACTATTACCACAGTTCTGAAATACTGTTTTCTAAAGCAGAAAACTTGGTATTTCCAAAAATAATCCTAAAACATAGGGTATGGAAAAGTATGAAAATTCATACATGTTAGCACAGCAGCTAAAGCAACAACCCTGTTGCTACAATTTCTACATCAAATATTCACAATGACTGATACGTTTGACAGTAAAAGGCCGCAGGATGAGCATTTCTGACTGAAGAAAACTACATTCGCGAGTGGAGGACAAGATGTTCCAGATATCTGGAATACAGAAAGTGAACACTGACCCAGATGACCTGAGTGGTCTGGATGGTTCACACTGTGCTAAAAGGTTACTGATGTTTCCTTAAACAATTCAGAGCTTTAAAGATTGAGATTTAAAACTATTTTCTGACCAACAGGGAGCCATCTAAAGACCTCAGGACTGAATTGATGTGATCCATTTTTTTTGTCTTGTTGAGGAATCAGTGGTACATGTCACATAAAATCTTCAGGGAAATCTGTGAAAATCCTTTTATTAACAAGTTGTGTTGGTCTCTGGGTTGCCAGCCAGTTCTGCTTGTGATTTTCATAAGCAGCATCTCAAAGCCCAAGGGAGGAGGGTGTCAGGTTTGAGGCCTCAGGATAACCTCTCTGCAGATGATGTGCTTCTGTTGACTGGGACCTCCAGTCAGCATTGGGGCAGTTTACAGCTGAGTGTAGAGCAGCAAGGATTAGGGTCAGCACCTTTAGAGCAGAGGCCATGGTTCCCTGCCAGAAAACAATGAATTGCCTCCCTAGGGTGAGTGCAAGTCTCTACTCTAAGTGAAGATGTTGAAGTATCTCAGGGTCTTGTTAGCATCGGAAGGCAGAGTAGATAGCGAGATAGACTGACATGTTGGAGCAGGGTCACCAATGATGGGCATGGTATACTGGACCACTATGGTGAGGAGGAAGCTGTGCCTGAGGGCAGGGCTTTAGATTTACCAAGTGATCTGCATTCCAGCCCTCACTTATGGTCAGGAGCTTTGGGTAGTGACTGAAGAATTGAAATCTGGGTTTCAAGTGAGAGAAATTTGTTTCCATCAAAGGCTCGCAGGGCTCAGCCTTAGACATCCAGAGGGAGCTTAGAGTACAGCCACCACTCCTTTGCATTAAAAGAAGCAACTTGAGGTGGTTCAAACACCTGATTAGGATGCCCACTGGGTGAGAATTTATGAGCACATACAACTCAGAGGAGATTTCCGGACAGACCCAGATCTCGCTGAAGGGATCACACATCCTGCCTGGCTCTGGAATGTCCCCAGAGGTACTGTAAAATGCAGCTAGAAGGAGGGACAACTTGGTCCACTTGCTTAGCTTGCTGCCACTGAACCGAACTCAAGATGTGAGAATTGATGGATTGATAAGGTCAACAAGGAGCTTTTGTTTTTATATTCTCAAATTCATTTTAATTATGTGACAAAGTTGCTCGGAATCATGGGAGTATTAGTCACACCACTAAAATAGTGATCACGTTGCTCAAAGAGATACTATGTTCCCAAAAGACATCCTATCTCAAAGTGTTGTTAGTCTTGTCATGTTTAGTGACATTAAGCTGTTATCTAGGGGTGGGAATCACCAGTGGCCCCACGATACGATAGTGTCCCGACACTTGGGCCACGATACGATATTATTGTCATTTTTAACATTTTGCAATACAGTGAGTATTGCGATACAATATCTTGCAATCTGTACAATTTTTTCAACCGTTTAGCTGAATTACGATCTGTCTTTCCTCTATGTTTGTCTTATTTACACAGTATTTTATTTTCATCTAGCACATCTTGCAAACCTATACGACATATCACCATACAAAATATCACAATACTATGCTGTATCGATTTTTTTCTCCCACCCCTACTGTTATCTCATCACTTCTACAGTTTTTGTACTTTCTGCCCAGCAACATCTCACAACTTTGATCCCCTGATGATACAACCAGCCCAATACCTGTCTGAGGTCTGTGTGTGAATGTGAGGATGGTGTCACGTGGAGATTTGCAGGTATATTTAAGTGTCTTTGTAAAGGTTAATGTAATGATTTGCATCACTAGCTTCCTTTTCCATTAGCCATGTCCTACAAAGACCACTAAGCATTAGTGGGTTAGTTAGTTAGCAGAATCTTTCTGTGAGAATGCACGTACAAGGAAATCTAACTGACCTCTGTTGTCAATATATTCCCCAAGCAACAATGACTGTAGGATCTCTGCGAAGACTCTCAGACCAAGAATAAATGAATGAATGAATGAATGAATGATTGAATGAGGCCAGCTACACCCCGAGTGCTCATTGATCCTACAATTGTAGAAAACACTACTTTTTTGAAAATCCATGGCCTTCCTGTGTCAAGCTCAGGCATCAATATGCACTGCTTTGCACAGGATGGTAAACTGTTTTAGATTGTATAACATGAATAAATACATGAATATTATGTAGATTGTTTTTGACAACGCAGAGCATGAAATTCAATAGCGACAAGCCTCCAATATATTCAGCCTGGTGAAGAACAAGGACACAATAGGAACGACATGATGGAGAATTCTTGGAAAGTATGTTAACAGAAAAGATTATGTGTGTGTGTGTGTGTGTGTGTGTGTGTGTGTGTGGGGGGGGGAGTACCTAGGCAACTTGTATTAAAACTAAACACAGTCTCCACACCTAATCAAGCAGTTTCACACCTTGAACACTGAGAGTAATGAGCTTATGGCAGGATGTCAATGACAACAGCTTTAATCAATAGCAGCTCTCCAATGATTATGAGCCTCATTCTTGTCACTATGCACACATATTTCTATTATGGTTGCCCTTTAAATCCTTCACAGCTTTTTAATTACATGCAAGGTCCATGCTGCTCATTCTAAGAGGTGAGCTCATTCAGGTTGTCAAATACTCATTGTATGTTGACTACAAATACATAACAGTCATTAAGATGGCTCCTAGGAGCCCCACATGGATGAAAAGAAAGAAAGAAATAAAATTTTCATGAGGATTCAAGCACAAGATGTCAAGGTAATGACCAAGAAAGACGGCTTTTTCAACTGTTTAAAGGGAAACAGTTCCAGGAGCTCGCTCAGGGAATTGACGTGCTAAGATTGGGCTCCGCAATGCTGTAGATTGATTTTGCTATAACATGCGATTGTGTTTTTTCCTGTGTGATCTTTAAAAAGATGAAGAGCAATAGTGAACAAGATTAAACTCCAGAAAGGCCGACAGGAGAAACAATTTTCTAAGACTATATTTCTGTTTCAGCAGGCAGTCATATTGGAAGTATCTATAAGGAAACAGCCCAAGGCTTTCTTAAGGGGTCAGAATGCCAACCGTGAACCACGTGCTGAGACACTGAGCTTACAGAATCCAGGAAGTTCTTTGTAACACACAGGCCATAAAATCTGTAAATTAACATCTTTTAATAGCAGGCAAAGTCCAACATAACACTGTTGTCTGGATAATGTACTTGATGCAAAATAAGCACAGAACCAGAGGCTAAAACAACGACTCATTACAATACACCGCAGTAACAAGAGGACTTTTGGTATTGATGGTCCTGACTGCTGAAAAGCTGCTTGCAGCATGTCAGTCAGTAAGTCTGACCCCAATAAATATCAAATCACTATCAGTCATAGCTTATGCTTCCTAATACGTCTAGAGTTTGTGTCCTTAGAAAGTGTCCAGCCCGGCCCCATCTATTCTGGTTGGCTAAAGTAGCAACAGCAGTACCATCTAAAGTAAAGCAAGCTGAGATGTTTTAGGGGTAGTGCCCTGAGCTGCTAAACATACACCAAACAAACACCGTGAGTGCTCTGAAAAGATACTTGATACTTCTGTTCCTGTTTCTCTCAAACACTAGTTATTCATCTCTCCCCTCTTAACGTACGTGCCAGCTTACGTCAGCTAATACTATCGTGTTGACATTTACCCATGGTCACCTCTCATTCCCTCTGCTGTGAGTGCATTTACCAACCTAAGAAGAATGAGCAACTGGGGTAACACAGATTTATCACATTGTTAATAGTAACAATAGCTGCATCATCACTCTGTCAATAGTTTATAATACGCTGTTCTGAATGGGAAAGATAAGGTGAATCCATGGGAGGTAAAAGTGACAAGTTTACAGTGTCTGACGGTGGCAGAATTCTTCAAATTTGTGTAATCTAACGCTCATTTTAATCTGGAGTAATCTATAGTAGTACGGCTGTTAAAGGACTGCCTTCAGCAGAGGGAAGTGGACAGGCTATAGTCAGGAATAAACTAAACAGAAGGGCCGAGGCTCTACCAGGTGAGTTTGCACAGCACTTATATTGCTGCTGTCGCATGGATCAAAGCAGATGGATTGCACCTTCTGGACGGCATGGGAAAAACACACATTTGACGTTACAGCAAACTGTCCTTTAATTCATGTCAATATTCCAATAATGCCTAAAAATATAAACATTCTTCTTATTAATCTATTGCATGTGAAAAATAAATAAGTTCCCTACTATTGAATTAAATCATTTTTCTACGATAAACAACAGAAACGGTACTTTATTTATTCCACCAAACTATTGGGTATCAAGAAAACTCTGCCACACTCATCAATACACATTTCTCTATTCCCAATAAAACGTCCTAGGTGGCATCTTGATCAGATTTAAGTATTTTAAGAGTAGATATTATGTAACATTTTTAAATTATGTTAAAATGAGTGACATAAATAGGAAGTCGACAGATGCACGGTTTTCCATCTTTTCTACGTATGCCTTGTGTCCAGGGAGCAGACTGCATAACCTACACTCATCAGTTTTGAAATGTTAATGAATTTTGATTACATGACTGGGCAATAGATGGAACCTGCGATATTCTTGTCCTTGTGCACAAACGACTGACAGTTGGATATTGAAAGCAGACCGTTTCTGAGAAACCTCCCAGCAGGTGTGAAAAAAATAATGAGGGGGAGCAGGAGACGAGGCAGATAAATAAATATCACCTGCCTGAAGCAAAGGCAAGACGAGTCAGTCGTATCTTTTCATCAAAGGCTGGCGTCAATCAAATCAGAGCAGGACAAAATTAAACAAAGAAGTCTCAACATCATTTGGATGTTTAAGGAAACATGCATGGAAATTTCAAGAGAGCCACTGATATTGTTCCTAAAATAAGTTGGGTGTGTTCTCCATTAGTCTCAATACAGATAATGAGTTATATAACCAAGTTAACATGATTCTTTCATCAATGTGGACTCCTTCAAAACAGCTCATACTGGATAATATGGGATTACATCAGCTCAGCAAGAACAAACTTGCTGCTCACATCCCTGGATATATTCTTCAAAACTAAAAGAAAGGCTACTTTCAGTTCTAAATGACATTTTGTTTTCAATCAGGTTTGATGTGTAATGTGCTGGTTCAGAGTAAACATTATCTGAAGACACTTTACATAAAAATTAGGCCATACGCATAATTCTAAAATAATCAAGTATACTGATTAAATATTCATTGTCTGTGGGGCTCAAATTAAGTTAGAATTTATTCTCGATGCTTTCAAAGGAAGAAATTTCATGAAAAATACTATTTATTTGTCAGTTTAATGTTTCTTTCTATTATATTTCAGTCATTTGAAGTTTTGGATTACAGCTTCATCTGAAAAAGATGTTGTATAGTCGTGACAACCATTAGAAGAAAATGATGTCCCCCTTTTCATAGTCATATCATAGCTCGATGGTTACAATACCTGTTTCATGTAGGCGTAACACATGGTCTCTGCTACACGTTTTCCCTCATCATAGCATGCTCGAGGACCGATCGGGTTCACGTGTCCCCAGTACTCCTCATTTTGTGGGTGCACCTCTGGATCTGGAATGTAAACATTACAGCCTTGAGATTCATTTTTCCATCCAGGTGAACAAACAATGTAAATTTGAAGCAGCATGCTTCCAATTTTGCAGCCTTGAAAACAGGTGTAAATTATTTACATCACATCTGATCTGACAATTCTGTTTTGTTTTGGCACAAGACAGAGATAAGTGTTTGTAGGACCTCTGGCTCTGAGGGTACAGTTGGTAATTTACCCTAAATGCTGAATCTGTGTTTGGACGATAACTGCTGTGCTGTTAAAAGAAAACCAACATTTCTCCAATCTTTCCCTGCGAAGCTTCATATGTAAATCAAGAGTTTTAATCTTACAAGAGGAAAAATAAAAACTCCACCGGGTGTTCAGTATGAAAAAAACAGGTCTTGTTATGAAGTTCCTGCAGCAGTCTGATCCATGAATATTGTTTTCTGCTTGTTATGTTAAGAGGAATCCTTCAGCTTCCCCGGCCCCATTTTAAAAACCATCTCACCCACAAAGTCACAGAAAAGCGGCATTATTCACTCTGGTTCTGTAAAGAATAGCACAAGATGAGTGGGAGGGCTTCTTTTTCTTACCTCCATATACCTCAGAAGTAGAAGCCAGGAGGAGTCTGGCACCTACACGTTTGGCGAGACCTGAGAGACAAACAAGGCAGTGAAAACAGTGTTTTTAAAAGAATCAAAAGAAATCAAACCTTAGCCTCAAACATGGCGGTATCAACAAGCAAAAAACATGACAGCACACTTTACCAATGTGAAGAGAGCAAAGTCTACAACATAATTCATAGTACATTTATAAAATATTTACTTCTGACAGCAGTTTTTCTTAATTTCATAGTGTTCTTGGGCAATGCTTCAGCTAATCTCTTTTCAAATACAGATGTAGCTGTTGAGTTTTGGTTGATGGGATACAGCTCTCATTTTTCATTGACATCAATAGGGGACAGTCCTAAAATAAGAAGGAAGCTTGTCTCTGCTTCTCATGACAAATGCTCCCATCAATTTTATTATTCATCACCAATGACAAAAAATACATAATACAAGACTCTGTGTCCTGATTCGGAACAGACTGACAGCTTTGAGACAAAATAACAAGACAATAGATTGTGAATATCTTGTGGAACATGAAGTATTTTGCTGGATATTCAATCTGTGAGCAGATGTCACAGAAAAAAAGCAGATAATCAAATCAGGGAGAAATAATATTCGAGTAAGGGTTGAGATTTTTCTTCATTTGTTCCACACGACAATCAGAAAAACACTTAATTCAATCAAATATTAAGAAATTGAAGATTAAATGGATGATCCAATGAGGTGATGTATTTCAGAAAAGAAAATACCCTGTGATGGAAAAGCCCTGTCTGACTCTCCTCTCACATGAACTGAGTCTGTGGCCCTGTTTTGAGCTCCCTCTTAAGCCTCCAACCATCCCTCCTGTAATAACAGAGTAAGAAGCTCATTTAACAGACTCACCGAGCATGTTGAGGGTGCCTATTGTGTTGGTCTTGAGTGTTTTGATGGGATTGTACATGTAGTTTGGAGGTGAGGCTGGAGATGCCAGGTGGTAGATTTGATCCACTGTGAAGAGAGAGAAACGGTAATGATCCCTCCATCCCAGACAAATTAAGTGAAACATCATAACAGGGAAATTATCCTCTAAATTCTGCTGCCTGATGAAACACTGAACCTTCATGACAGTCAGCCTTAGATGTGTGTAACCTCTTGTTAAGTGGACCAAACGCTTAGGACTGAAATTAAAAGATCAATTAATAAGATGGTCTGACAATTTTGTCAGCACCTCAATTGGCCCAGAGCACAGAAATGAGACCTTTCATCTTGTACAAGCTGAGTGTTCAAAAAACTTGTAGGTCACCCAATGCCTCAAGGTAACTGAGTGGATTTAAAATCCTGACAACCTGATTTCTGAGTCTGCACATGCAGAATAAGCTCAACATACGAGACAGACAAAAGAACAATATTCTCTTCCTCCATCATACTGTCTGTCTGACTTAAATGCTCTCATCCAGTTTCCTTCCCCCAGCCATCAAGGGCCTATTATCTGGCTGTCTTTGTCAGCCTTCTATTTTCTTGCCCACCACTTTTATTTCAGTCCTCTTCAAGCAAATGTCACCACCTATTCAAGACATGACCTTAAGATTCATAAAGCAAAACAGCTCTACTTTCATTCCAAGACAACTCCCTTTTCACAGTACTCTAAGATGTTCTCTGTAAAGTACTGACATACTAGTGTCAGATATAAGTCTGCCAGTTCACTGTTTTAAAGTGATATACATGTAGTAGTTTTAATCTCTTTTATCAACGATATGGAAAGACTTTCTGGAGGACACTGCAGGGTGGCCAAGCAATTTTGATGAAATTGACAAGACTCCTTCCATCTTAATTTGCCTTCAGTACCCCAAACTTCAACCCCCCAAAATCCAATCTTCTCCTGTTTAAACATTTATACAATAACATCACATGCTCTCAAAGAAAGGGAATTAAAAAAAAATGGCAGGGAAGAAAATTACACTGACATAACAAACATAGTGATAAGAGTGATTGTTTGCATTTGTGTTCACTGGGGAAACGGATTTTCACAGCTTGTGTTTTGGTGCTCGTGTGTGTCAGTGCATGCATATTTACGGTTTAATGGTGCGGCTGTGTCTGCAGCAGGTCTGTGTGAGACATTGTAATGCAGGCATGCCAGAATGTGGGAGACAAACTGTTTCATAACATCAGTGACAAGGTTTCATATAAAACCGTCAGCTCCGGATGATTCCAATCCACCGTATCAGATCAGTCAGATATCTGGACTCGCAATGAATCATAATAATCAAATGGATTTAACTGGAGAGAAGTCTCTTGAGCTGGTTTGAGGTAGACAGTCCCATAGCGCTGCTGCACAGAAAGATTAACTCTACACTGGAATCTATGTTTGGTGCACCTCCTGCTGTAGGTCAGTGTTATCTGAGACATAAACCCCTCAGCATTACGTTTTATTCTCACTGTGATATCGGTAAAAATAAAAAAAGAAACAAGCTTATAAAGCTGACTGAAACAATGCTTGAAAAAAAATCTCCCTGAGCTCAACCACGTGCTTTGGACAGCTGGTATAATAAAAGAGAACAAACAGGATCACACTTAATATATACAATATTCCTCCACCAAATGCATGAACAAACATTTATTTCCAGAATATTCCTGGCCTCATACACCCAAATTCTGCACATGCTCAGAATTGAAGGTGCCCACACACCTAACCTGGGAGATGACAATATCGTAACAACAGGCTCTTACGGAAAAGTACCTAAACAAAGAATGTGAAAGCAGCGCTTGTAACAACAAAAACACATCTATATCTGTTCTTTACTCTCCAAGCACCTGAAGGTCTTCACCACACAAAGGCTTCACTCTGTTGTTCAGAGGGGGCCTTTTGTTCTCTTATTTAATCCACTCTAACAGCAAGGCTTTAACAACATACCCTGTCCATTGGCACAGACCTTTGAACACAGCTGTTTTATATCCCCACCTCTGAAGGTAGCAGACCTAGATTGTAATCATTAAATTTGCCAATCTTCGGTGGCACTTCATTAGTTGTCTCTTTGTCTTTTAATTCCTTTTTTAATTACCAGAAGTAGCTTGAGCTGTACTCAGGGTAGGGTTACAGCAGTTTTATGTATGCTTTGATTTGTTGAATAATTCACAGTTTTCAACCAACTGCAGATCTAAAAAAGTGTCATCAGAGAGGGTTCTGTGGTACACCATGTGGTTATCCACATTACAAAAATAACTTTCTTTGTCTGTGATGCTTAATAACCTTTGCTTCAAGTGGTTTTTAAGGGTCAATTCCAGCCCTAATTTTGCTCTATCAATGTGGAAATATTTTGGGTTGCTAAAAAAAATTAACGCTTTTATGAACCATACACAGTATCTGCACAAAGACAAAAAAGAACAAGCTATAATACATTTCACTTTGGAAATCAACCACAAAAGGTAATAGCATAAATGAGGTACAAGTGCTGTATGCAGAGCTGTTTCTAAATGATTTTTAATGATTGCTTCTAGGGAACACTTTTCACAGGCAGTCTGCTTTTCAAAGGAGCTCTGCTCATCACAGCAGGAGTAAAGGCTGATTATTTCCTGAGCTGCGCAGACACAACAGAACCAATGGGAAAAAAATAATTAAGATGAATGTAGATAAAAGCACTGTGGATTACTCTTTCCCAGGAAATATGCAGATTAGCGGGGTTCACCTCCACCCGAGAATAATCACGCACTTCAGGGAGCTGATTGCTGGTGGCCTTTTTTTTTTTTTTTTTTTCAGTCCATGTCTCTGGTTCTTCTCTTGCAGAAATAACTCCCTTTTATAATTCTGGCTTTTTTTTTATTGTTATGTCATCTTTCTAATTTAAACTCCAAGAGCTGTATGATTTTAAGAATACGGATAAAAACATATCTGAATTCTCCCCCGGCTGGATCATAATTGGAAGCCTTTTTTCATGCGCTCTCCCCTTGCATTAGCATCAGGAAGTAGGAAGCCATTCATCATCTCTCACATTAACTCTCTCGCTCACCCTCAATATAGAGAGGCTCCACCACATCATGATTGATGAGTTCAAAGTTTTCGTGGCCGATCCAGTGCTCCACATTCCTCTTCCTTCCTGTGAAGAAGTTGTCCACCACAGTCACCTCATGGCCATCCATCATCAGCTTGTCAGTGAGGTGAGAGCCCACGAAACCGGCTCCACCTGTAATCTAGTGAAAGAATAGGCATTTGAAATCATCAAAAATTATTAAATGTTAAAGGATATTTTGTCTTTAAGGTTGATTTGATGAATAAAACCCTGCTTCAAATAAGTGGAGTGCATGTGGTGTAAAATATTGATTAAAACCATTGAAAAAAACCATTTCAACCCTACGTTTAATTTCGATAGTATGCTTATTTTATATTTGTAGCCAACAACACACAGATAAAATGAGACAGGGACAAAAAAATGAAAATAAAAAGACACTTGGAGAAACATCTCCTGTCAACAGACTAGCCTGAAGTCTGCAGAATCAAAACGTGATGTTCTTTTATGAAATCATGGCTGCCGGATATTCCACGCTGAAGAGTAAAGGGACCACCCAGCCTGTTATCAGCTTATAGTTCAAAGGCCAGCATCCCTGATGGTATGGTGAAGCTTAGGTGTCCATAATATGGGTGTTTGGGAACGCACCATTAATGCCAAACAGGTTTTCGAGGATCATACTGTAAATCCAGACAATGCCCTTTTTAGGAAAGACCTTAAATATTTCAGCGAGATAATACCAAACTGCATTCTGTATGTATTATAACAGCATGACTCCCAAGGTAGAAGAGACTGGTTACTAAACCAGTCTGCACATAGTCCTAATTTGTCATCATTGAATCATCTTTTTCTTTTATATGTGTCGCATCAATTCAAAAATAAGCAAATATATTTTTCATGAATCAACAAGAGCTTGTCTTTTGTATGTAAATATGGCGTTTAAATTATTTGATAAACATCATATACTTTTTTTTTATAAAGATTGTATACAGTTTTCTGCTTATTCAAAATTAGAGTTCTATTGGATTTCATATAGAAAAGAGAAACCGTTTCGACCTGAACTAAACAATACTTGGGTGGGGGGAGCTGGGTGTAGGAGTGAATTGTAGTTGAAGGTTTTTTTAGGTTGAAGCATTTACTCCGAAACAAAGGCAGCAGTCGAGTCAATCAGCCTTTTTCAAACAGTATCTTCTCATGCTGTTATAAGCACAAGTGTACCTTGCAAAAAAAATTATTTGGTTTCACCTAATTGTCATAAATAATTATTCAGGTTTGCTGTTTTCTGTCCTTGTGAAGAATGTTGATGAAACTACAGTGAAACTTAATTAAAAGTCAGTTTTCTGCAACCCAAAACACTGAACACAAAACTGATTCACACATCAAAAGTCAAACCTTTTCTTTCCCTCAAAGTCATCTATCAAAAACTATTATACAAAAAAACACTGTTGCATTGCTACACTCAAAAACAGCCTAACAGAGAACCTCGAATTTTTTAAGTAAATTTTTTCCTGCAAAAACTTCTTGGACACAATGAAAGCTCGATTAAATCTTTGTTGTTGTCATTGTGAGAGTTTAGAAATACTCATTCTTCTGTTTATTTCTATTTTCATATTACGCTCAGCTAACCAGTGATCTTCTACAACCACTTATCACCTGACAACCAAAGATTTCTGCTCGTCCAATTAAAGGAATTGATCTGTCCCCTGAACAAAATGACTCAGTGGGAAGATTAATCTCCCAGACATGATGATTGCAGTCAGTCCTGAAGCAGCTCTGTGAGGTCGTACTTTAACAACAGTTAAACAGTACAAGGACCAGCTGTATCGACCAGAGCTGACAATCAAATGCAGCTCTAGGAACATGCAACACTTGTGCAAGCTCTGCTTATTGAATTCTTATAATTATGTTTAGTTTAGAGATTGGCCTGGATCAGAGCAGGCAGGGGATTCTTGGACTCTTGGGATTTGCACAGACTTCAGAGCGACAAATTGCTGCTATAGAGGCTCAGTCAAGTGTTTGCTCCCATTATAATCATTACTGTGAAAGTGATGTGAGCTTGAAGAGGTGAGAATGTAGCATACCAGAATTCTTTTCCGATCCTTTTCAGACAGGAATTTCACAGGTGGATATTTCTGTGAGAAACTACAGAAGAGAAAATGTCGACAGTTCAATAAAACAGCAAACGTGACTGTACGTGACTTAGACATCTGACTCATTCAATCTTGCAATTCAACATAAAATCCTTGAACCACAGAATTCAACATAATCCTACAAGTCTCGTGTCTTACTTGCTGCATCAGCAGAAGCATTATTTTAATTTATAGCTAATTTTTTTTATCTGTGACTGGATTGAGAATGTTTGACAGGTTTGCTTTGGACACAGAGAGACTTCTGCCAATAATGCAGCTCCAGGTAAGAACCTTGAGTGACTAAACATCGAAGGTTTGGGTTGAAACTTGTGGGTCAGAGTACAGTAATCAAGCAAAGTAATCAGTTCATAGAAGGCAACCAGAATGAGATAGTGTAAATGAGCATACTCTTATATACAAGCATATTCTGAAAAACAAATAAGCTCACACTTTATCTTTTTAAAGGCCGTGCCCTGCACTCTTCAGCAGGATTGTATGAATACACCCCTTCTGTTCATTCTTTTTCAAGGGTCTCAGCTTTCCAGACAGCAGCATGCTGTAGGCACGGGGCTCACATGGCTGTGTTCATCTGCCTCATTAGCATTCAAAACATCGAAAGTGACAGGGATAATTATAAGTGTTATAAATAATCGAACCATAGCCGGATAGACTGAACTGAAGAAGCCATAACAAGCATGGTGTGACCTCTAATCTTGTAGTCATGTTCGATGGTGTCTGTTTTTACTCATCTGGTGATGAGTCTCTAATTTCAGTAATCAAACCATTAACCTTTCACTGAGCAATAATCGGCATCCCATAATAGAGGATCTGCCTGTTTTAACAATAGGAATAGATACTATTACACGAGAATACACACCTTTGTTCCAGATCCCGAATCTTCTCTCTAAGAGGAGCCACAGCCTAAGGGGAGATGAGAGAGCAAGTCAGTGCTTAACAATTGAATATATATATTTAAAATTGTATGACATGAAATTATCTCTACAATCTGTTATCACAGCAGCATGTTAATGAAAGTATACAGTAAAGTCTATTTCAAATTTATAGCCAAGATTGTTTATTGATGAAACTCCTTATAGCAAACATGTATAAATTACCTGTATAAATAAATTCATGAATAACTCCCTCTCAGATCTAACTAATCTGTTTTCAAACTCTAAACACAGTAAATGTATATCACATTTTATCTAATTCTAGCTTGTGGAGGTAAAAGGTCTCCTGACAGCCTACAATCCTTTACAAAAGAAACTTCTTTCAGGATGAAGCTGCGATTACACTATTTAAGCTCTGTTTACCATCTATAATCATAAAACATGAACTGACGGCTTAAGCGTGCAACAGCTGCAGAAAATCACAGAAACTATGTTTTCACTCCAAACAACGTTACAGTCCAAATCCATGTCCTTCCAGACATGCTGGCTAACTGTTTCCATTGAAGACTTTGGGAGTATTTAGACCTGGTATTATTATGTGTCCCAAGAGACTGGATAACTAATGAACACTTCTGACTGAGTATGAATGTTCGCACTTTGCATTAAAAGGCATCTTGAGTAATTTCTTGTGATCCAATCTCGCTTTCCTGGTCTGGATGAAAATAAAAACATCCATATTAGCATTTAAAAAACATAAAACGATGATGCAGGCTTGTGGCACAGAGGGGGTGAGCTGCATGAGACATAATCACAGACTTGAGATGACTTTTATCATGATGCCTGATGTTCATTTACAGTCCACTGAGCTTAATGTGTCCAAATTCACACACATCTAAGTTAACAAATGTATCCTCTCTGCATTTTCCATTAATTATAAACCACTTGTTGATCTTTTTCCTGATCTTGTGTCAGAGAATGTTGAGACACACAATAGGGGGCAGACCATGGCATGATATCTCATCTGTATCTGTGACTCACTGTTCATAACCACGTCTGATAAACTGCTCTTTGATCATATCTCTGACTCACGCCGTGGGTCCTCAATGTGGCCAAGAGCCCGAGTGAGCCCGTCCTTCAATATAATCTTATTTAATATTCATGAAAAACTTTATCATAATTACCTCTGCCAAGGAGGTTATGTTTTTGGTCGAGTTGGTTTGTCTGTTAACAACTTTACGGAGAAAGTTACAGACGGATTGACCTGAAATTTTCACCAGAGGTGTGTCTCAGCCCCAGGAGGATCCCATTACATTTTGGTGGTGATCTGGATCGCCTTCTGGATCCAGGAATTTTTTGAAGGATTCTTTATCATTGTGAGATAGGGCACATTTTTGAAATTTTTGCATTTAACTATATCTATCTATAAAAATGGCCAGAGTCTTAAATAAAAAATTACACAAAAGGATCTCAATGAGTTTTATGAGGTGTCAAAGGTTGATCCTGATCCAGACAAAATTCAGGATACTGTGAGCTGCTTGGCGGAGGTCTGCGCTCTCCGAGTGTTTTTCTAGTTAGTTTATAGACTTGGACTACTTTGCAAATGTGTGACCTTTCACCAACCATAAAACTCTCCAAAGTTCATCCTTTAGCCTGACTGGAAATTTGTGCAACATCTAAGGACATTTCCTCATACCTAAGATAACTCGTCAAGAGAAATGGATGGATGGGCAGACAGACAGACAGACAACCTGTAAACATAATGCCTTCAGCTTCAACTGTTATGGGTGTTGAGGTGTAAAAAATGAAAATAAAATGCTGAGTTTTAATTCTGTTGGGTGCCTACAGCCATCTGCCATGCGCTCATTTCTCAGTGGATAATCTGTACGTCAGTAAAGACCTACCGTTTTCTGAGGAGCAGAATCAGATATGTCCCTCCACATTTTTCTAACGACCTTAACAGGTAATAACTTGATTCATCATTTAGGCAGTATTAAAAAAGTAATGTAGGGATAGTATGGACTTCTATATCACAGTGCTTTTTGAGTCTTTCAAACCACTCAAACCGACTTTTAAACTACTCATCATCACATTCTCTGAGAAGTTTAGATTAGATTTTCGATTAGATTAAAACCTATTCTACATTTAAATTCTCCAGTGTCTAGTTTAAGTGCTTGTATTTGTGAAAACTCTATCAAAATGGTTCTACTTTTCTGGAATAATATTATAAACACTATGAGCAGCATTTTGATAGTCTTTTATTAGCTGTGTGCAGGAAACTGGTTTTAAGACACAGAAATTAAACATTTTCAACATCCAATAAGAACATGACCTTAAAAAAATCAGCTATTACATTATGTTAACTTGGATCAAATCAGGGCCAGCTATAGCACAGTTTTCTAGCTGATCAAAAATAAAGGACAGACTACAAGGTTGTACTCCTATAAATCTGTAACAATACACACAGCAGAGCTAATCAAACCTGTAAGAAAACGTTGGAAAACAACCTATTAAGAGATAATAACAGCTGAGCTGTACTCACTTCATCAATTCTTTGCTCAATCTTCATTTCTCCATGTTCCTGTATGGATCTACAACAAGAAAAAATGATAAAGTCAAGAACTGGTAGGATGAGATGAATGCAGTTATTATCACAAGGCCACTGGAAAAAGCTCTTAACTTGTCAATTATTTTTATATGCCAACACATAAGCCATCACCTTCCCCCATGCATTTAGAGAGAGGCTGGGGAAAAATCTTCTATTGTAGCCATTGTATACTGTAAAATATGTATCTATGTGTTGATATGTTAATGGTTATCACTATTAACTTATTCTGTCAACAAAACAAGTTTTAGGCTTATACTCGCATTTGTAATTGCATAAAAATCTGCTATTGCTTCAGAGCATAATCACCATTAGTTTGCTCTGACTAAATAAAACCACAGAACTCACTTACTCTTAACCTGAGTGGTATCTGTCATCTATTTTCTTTACACATCAAGACATTAGGTCAGTGAAGCTAACAGATTTTAAATGAATCAATTTATGGTCCGTCTCTTTTTACCATGGCTGCCACTACTTGGCCTTTATAAATCCATATTTTTCACATCAGTGTTTCCTCATGAGTGTCTACTCGGCATAAGCTAGCATCCCAACCAAGCTTAAGCTCTGAAGGCTGAAAATATATATCTACAGTTTGAAGACTTTTTGATGACTGTTGGACCGCTGGGTTCGGAGTAAGAGCGAAATAGGAAGTGTGTCCTTCCAAATGTGTCAGTAACACTGATTGGCACTGGTAAAAGCTCAAAAAAAAAAAAAACTTTAAAAAGGTGTTTTGTTTTTTCACATCTAAGTACTGGGTGTGATGGGGATGCGAAGGAGAGTGCTGAGATTCAAGGATGTTCATGACCAACAGCATTAGCCTCCATTTTAGCTCCCAAAACATAGCTGATGATCAATAATACAGACAAGAAGCCAAACACCAAGGACAAAGAAGCAGTACTTGTTTTACTCCAGTGCTTACCAAAGAAGGGGAATGATAAGTATGTTTCATGAATACTGATTCGTTAGCATCTCTCTGTTGGTTTGGCAAAGTAATCCATCATGTTAAAAACAGGTTTGTGGTGGTCAGGCATGCAGTGTATGTGTGTGTGTGTGTGTGTGTGTGTGTGGTGGTGGTGGTGGTGGTGGGGGTCTTGTGAAATACATTTTCATTCAATTACACAGCAGTTATGTGTGCTTCCTGGAGCTGGCACTTGTCACTGTGTGGAATAAAGACAAGGACATATGTGCTCATCTATTATTGTATACCTCAATACCATTCCAAACCTAGTTATGAATTTGCACAGGTAAGTGTTTTCTATGAGAATAAACGCTGCTGTGTTTTTTTATCGAGGTTTCCACATGTTGTTAGGATTGTGTTATTAAAAAGATAAAGCTACGTAACGAGAAAGGGTAAAATGACCTCATGCTGACTGTGGTCAGAGTCATCATGTTCCGTAAACAACCTCATTAGACCTCCCACTCCTCCCTCTAAATACGACATGTAGAGGTGAGTAATCTGGGACTGATCTGAAATATGATTTAGACATTTTGTGTATTGATACTTAATCAGTCAAGAGTGGTAGATACAACACTTGTCATAATTTTCTATTATCTGTGAACACGAATCTTTTTTTATGATCATGTAAACTGCACTGGATGTGCTGCATCTTGACCCCCTACAAATATCCAATATCCTGTTTTTAAAATGTACCTTACTGGCAATTTGAAGAATTATAGATAATAAAAGAAAGAAAGACTATACCTCATGTTTGTGTATGTTCCCCAGACAGCTGCAAAAGAGGGAGAGAGGAAAAAAAAAACACAAAAACAACATGATGAATGTAAAGCGCATGTTTAAAGCTGTGAGACATCCGGTCATTTTCTTTTAAAGAGCACAAAGAAAATGACCCAAGAGAAAGTCAAAATAAGAAAATATGCCCCAAGTAAAATCTTAATTTATGTTCTACAAGTGTACTGTCCATTCCAGATACTGCTCCGGCACCTCTATCTTGCAGTGCCCGGATCCGTAATCACAACAACACTGTGTACTAAGGTACTAACAAAGTAGCAAGGAGTAGGAGGGATGTCTGCTGTGTGGCAGGATTTTTTGGTTCGACCCCCCCCCCCCCCAAAAAAAAAAGACATTGCAGCTGAGTGCAAAACTTGTCATGCACAAATTTTGAGCCAATATCGGATCAATATCGGTATTGAGCAATACTAAAGGCTACAATATCGGTATCGTATCAGAAGTAAAAAAAGAAAAAAGTTGTATCGGGACACCTCTATAAAATTCAAAGATTAAATGACTCTGCCTTTTATTTGCCTTAACTTGGAGTTGCACTTGTCCTCAACTCAAAGGCTGTGCGTTCAACAGCCCCTTCACATTTGATCATTTTTTCTTGTCAGCAAAACTATCTGCTACAACTGAAGTTTCAAATCAACTTCACAAATTATTTCTAGATGAATCAGCCCTTCACTGATGAGAATTAAATAAAGGAATAGATTAGATTATTTATTCAGCTATGAATTATTTGTAAAATCAAGTTTCTTGTTCTCATATCACCTGACATGCACAAACACAGCATCATGGGTTTTACAGACATCATGTGCATTCTTAACACAACTCTCAAAATTACAACTTTCAGCATGGCGGACAAACCAACATTTCTGCCAATATAAACCAATCTAGGTTCAAAACAAGCCCTTGTCTGACTGTCTGAGTAATACGTACATGTGAGTCTGAAACAACACTCAAAAATGTAGCTGTTTGGGACACAACTCAAATGAACAGCACAATAATTGTGATTTATATTTGGAGAAGTGCCAACCATTTTATTCAATGCAATATACCAATAGATAAACCAATAGATGTCGGGATGGGAATCGAGGACCGGTTCTTGTTGAGAACCGGTTTCAAATGGTTCAATCCATCGACATTGTTCACATTTTATCTTAACGATTCCCAAATGATTCCTTGCCGATTTTTGCCGATATTTTCAGAAATAAAATGCCGAAAATAAGATTCGGTTTCACTTTGAAAATGTTCTGCCATTTGAAAAGTTCCCCGACTTATCCTGTAGATGGCGCAACGAAGAGAGTGGTCCGCCTCAACGATAAATAAACCAGTTTGTGAAATACACAATAAGTCAACAAGTCTCAGTTCAACCCACTTCACGATGTTCCCCGCTGTGCTGGTCTGGTCACGCTGAGTAAACGGTAAAGCACCATGCAAGCTAAAGTTAGAGTTAGTTACCTGCTATTAGCGTTGCTACACTGTTATACTGGGTTGTTGAAAACGCTTTTCTGGTCCGAGTTTGATAAGTAAGTCTTCCTGTCGGCGTGAGGAGCAGTAGCCTACAGTATATCTACAGTACATAGTGTACTGTACATATATATCTACAGTATAAATATGTTTTTTTTATATATATAACTTCATAAAAAATTTGAAAAATCGGCCAATTAATCGGTAATCTGATTTTTTTTCCCCCTAATAATCGGTATCGGCCCCAAAAAATCCATATTGGTCGGGCCCTAGTTTGTTGTTTGATTTTTTTTTTTTTTTTTAGACTCTCACTGAAGGTGGCACACATCTTTTCTGTTACTTTGAGTTAACGGTGAACACCTATAGTCTACATTTTAAAATCAAAGAAAGGCATTGATAAGGGAATCATTGAAGAATTGAATCGATAGGCAGAATCGATAATGACATTAATATCAATAAAATCCTATCAATTCCCATCCCTAAATAGATGGGGAAAAAAATGTAATTATCAAACCAAATGTTCACAAGTATACCAAACAATCTAACATAAAGCAAAATATAAAAGGACACTATTTTCATTGTTTTACTTTACTTTGACACAGACAGTCTTTATAGGCTGGCAAAAGAAAATCTGAAAACACTGTCCAGTCCTCTACCACTGTGTTTTTCAGGCTTTAACCTAAACTACAAGACCAAACACTTAAAACTTTCACAAAACTGCGTCTGATTGTTTTCAGTATGGTGAGCCTTAGCTGATGTTCACACATTTCTGTTCAGTCTGACAGTGTGCCCTCTGTAAACAGGATGATGTAGACTAGTTAGACTAGTCACACGAGTTTACTGAGTGACAGTTGACACATAAAATCGTACTTACAGGCAATGTAGGCGATCAAAGCGAGGGCAAAAAGCAGCTTCATCATTCTTCGGTTTAATCCTGATATCAGCCAGATGAGCCGCTTCATCATCCGCTCAAACCAACGGGACCAGGACACCAATGAGCCCCACTTTCAGCTCCAGCTAGAGCATCCTGACTCACAACTCATCATGTCCTCGGTGAGATACGGTCTTCAGGGTGTCAGGGTAAACCAGGCAGACTGTCAGTATTCTTTGCCTCAGTATCTCTCATTTACATGAATTTTGACTGGATAAACAGGACGGACAGACTAGCGTCCCGCTGCTACGTCAACACCGAGCAGTTTACGTGGCTAGCAGGGAACACACACGCAGGTACCAGGTAGCAATCCACAGCAGTGAGTGACAACGTCCACAACTACACGGAAACTAGGAAAGAAGCGTCCTTTGCTCCCCGAATATACAAGCAGTGCAGCACTACTTTATTTCACTTATTGTTATCCCAGAGTTACGCTCACAAACTGCGAGAGCGCCTCACTATCACCTCTCACTGAGGGTTAGCTGTTAGCACTAGCAAGCTAGCAAGCTAATCAACTGCCAGCCTAATTTTCTTTCGTCCACAGCTGCCGCAAGAAAAAAACAACAACGAATATAGCGCCTCGTATCTGTACCTAGGTAAGTACTTAGACGATAAAATAGCCGCCCCGGAGCGAAAATGCACACATGTCAAGAGTTTGCCCCTCTCATTTGGGCCGAAGGAGTTACAGCAGCAGTAGAGCGATTGTTCTTCGCTCGATTCAGCAGCCTGGTTTCTCACGCAGGGGGACGTGTGACGCTCGGTGGAGTTTGTGAAACTTTAATAATCATGTTTTTATGACGATGGGCAAAGTTTAAAATGCTGTTTAAGGTAAAGGGGAATACTGCACAACCTCATATGACATTAAGCATTTTTTGAAGAGCCGTAAAGTTACACAATCACATATTTTCTACTCTAGCACAATGGTTCATTCATTCCATCACACAAAACCTGTCTCTATTTTGAATACCCTGACTTTCCCATTTTAACCACTATAACCTGTCTGGCGCTGTACACAAGTCAAAGGTGTTCAGTGACTATCACTCACTGACAAACCAAAACATAATGAACACTTGAGCAATCTCACGCAACCCAGAACAACAACCAAACCATAAATTCCACTTTTACGAGGCTTAAGTACATTTACAGTTTTATTGACACGGTGAGGGTTGGTTCTCCGAGTACACTTCTGAAGTTTTCCCAGGTGTTGATGGTGTGCTGGAGTTTAATGGGGGAGAGTGGGGTAAATTGAGCCACCCCCTGTTGCTTGGAAATGGTAAAAGAAATTGATCATGTGATCAAATATTTAGCAGATGGGCATCAATTCATGGAGTCTGTGAAGGTTAGAAGCACATGGGTGAAGGGGTTAGACATAAAAAATAAAAACATTTTTCGCCCTTGAAAGTGAATTTAGTCTGTCATAAGTTTTATTAGAATTGTGTTTAGACCAAAAAAGTGTATTTTACATTTGTTTTATACATCACTTTTGGTATTTATGAGCTACAACATGAGGTCAAACACATAAAAGTCCACCATTTCAGCTTAGAGGACTGATAAAGTCATAACAGTAGTTCTGGGGTAAGTTGAGCCATTGACTCAACTGAGAAATGAAAGGAGTCTGATGGGAGGATCAGAGTTTCAGTTCAGATTGTTGAAATGTGTTACTTTTTCTTTTCAAAAATACAGCTGTGAATGTTCTGAATCACTTAAAGACGTTCTCACGTTAAAATGACTTTTTACAAAACAGCTTTTAAGCAGTTATATGCAATAATAATAAAAAGAATTATTGTACCAGTTGAATAGCGTATGATAGATAAAAATACGCAAGAATGTGAAGAAGTGACTGTTATTTAGGGAGACAGAAGGTGAGGGAGGGCCGGAGTGGAGAGAGGGGGGGTAGTAGGGATACGGCTGAACTTACCCCGCTCCTATGGTTAACTTACCCCATACACGGGGTAAGCTGACCATAGGAGACCACTTTTTTTGGCATGCAGCTACTAAGCTCTTTTTCACACAAATAAAAAATGATAAGGAAAGGAAAATCAAGAAAAAATTGAAACTTTGCGATTTAGATCCCATTTACAAGGATGACCAAGCCAGGAGACAAGCAGCACATGTCATATTAAATATTAAACAATTAAAAGACAGATTACAGAAAATGAGACAGAAAAAAAACACTCTAAAGGTGCAAATTAGTCAGCAAATTAAGTACAAAAAACAGTGGGCATTTATGACAAAACACAGGCACTGTTCAGTTGTCTCTCATATAATGTAGAGCGAAAGGATTCAAGTAAATAAATACTTGATAAAATAAAGTATTAAATTATAAATGATATAATAAATACCTCAAATAAATGAGGTCAGACTGTTTTAAGTCACTCTTAATTCACTGTGGAGTGTATTCTATGCTGATGGGGCAGCAAAACTTAGCACTCTTTCCCCCATATTGGTGCAGACACAAAGAACAGACAGGTGGAAAACATCACAAGATAAATAGTAAAGGTCAGTGGTCTATTCTTCATGTGTTAGGCCTCTATTTTTATCCAGATTTATGAACAACGTTTGATCATGAAGATATATGTCTGAGATATGAAAAACTCAAGCAATGTTTAATCTACTGAGTCACCAGATGATGACTCATGCAAGTCATGTAACTGCCGGGTTGTTTTGCTCTATCATTTAGAACAACTGGATGAGGATCCAAATTAAAGGGCAAATCCATGACTGAAAATAATACAGTGAACCAGATCCCAGCCTTGTACAAACAATCTCCAAGAATTCCATCATATTATTTTGAAAGCAGTGATGTGCTAATGTTAGACGCAGTAAGAGTATCAAGATTTTACGGACATGGTTGGTCATTTTTATTATTAAGGAAATTAAGAAACTGAATAAATTAATGAGAAAACAGGTTGTTTCATATACATCACTACATCCTGGTTACATCCTGTTACATCCTGGTTTAGTGATTGTTTACAGATCTGTAATCAACCTTGAAGGTCGTAATTATTTGCACATACGCCCTGAGCAGACAATATCATTCCTGTCAGCCCTCATCCTAAATAGTTCAGACACACGAAACATCTGAAGTTGAACCCGGATGAGAGGGTTGCAAATTTAATTTCTTATTAGTTTATTATTCCACTTTGTAAAGCAACATTGGGCTCTTTGAAAGGTGCACTATAAATTAAATTTTATTATTGTCATTATCATTTTTTGTTATTGTTATTTTTAGCAGTAGTTTAATTTGTTCTCATAGGGTCCATACTGATATGTGTGACCTCTGAAAAATCACACCAAACCCTCCAAAGGATTGGGAGATTGATGGTATCTTGAGCTACACTAATGGGCCTTTGGCCAGCAACGGTTTGTTCTAATATTTTCTGATTTCCCTACCTCATTTTCTAACTTAAGTTGGGGTCTTGCAAAGTTTCCAGAAAGAATTATATTATTCTGATATACCAGGCAAAGGATGAGCCTCAATGTTTACTGGGGTGTTTGTAATAACTGATGTTCGTAAGTACAGTGCAAAATAAATATGTGAATAATCAAATCAATGGAAAGCCAGACAAACTGTGTAAATACTCTGCCAGTTAAATCACCACCTGACTGAGAATGCCTCAGCTGGTGATTCAGCCAACATAAACAAATGTATAGCCCCAAGATTGACTGTATTTGAGACTGACGTAAAATGTTCAAACATCAATATACTCTACAAACCACACAGGCTGAAAACAGCCTGGTAAAAACAAAGACAATTTTCACATCCCATTCTAAATTTAGGAAGGGGACAGCATAACCAAAATGGTTGAGATCACAAGCCACAAGACATTCATGTACCCAACCTTTGTCCCATACATAACTGACACATAACTCAGAGATGCAGATGTAAAATAGGAGACCTTTCACTTAAAACTGATGCCAAATACTGGCTTGTGAGCTGCTCTTTTGAAGAGTTTAGTATTTTCACTGATGACATGTTGTAATCTTTAAGGTACACACTCTTCTCCCATAAAACTGACATCAAAAAATTTGAACTTGTTGTTCAAAAACAATTAAATGGCAGGTTTTGGGGTGAGGTTACATCTGAAGCCACAGAAACTTGAATGGTAATGTAAATCTCCACTTTGCCTCAGCTTCAGCGACCAACAGCAAAATATCATTCAGTCGCATTAAAATAAGAAGACATTGTCTCCCAAACATCTACAGGTTACCAATGAGCATACTAACAAGACCCCATCATGTATTGATGGATAGCCTTTTTTACTCGAGTATGCACACACACACACACACACACACACACACACACACACACACACACACACACACACACACACACACACACACACATCACCATACTACCCTGCTGGCTTTGGGGTATTATCTCTAATACATGTCTCCTCTGTTACATCTGTATTTTTAGGACATAAAGTCTGTCAATGTGAACTGGACCACAGACTCTCCCAGAGCTGCTAGCATGGCTTATTGACTCCTCATCAGCTTAAAATCTAAGTTTTTCGGCTTACAAGCGCCACAAAAAAATCCCTAAATTTGTTTTTGGATCAAACAAAGTCTTAGAGACAGAACATTTGAACAGGCATTTAAATCAAAGGAATGAGACACATTTTAAGACAGAGTAGTCATTATATCAGGATAAAAAAAGCTAATTATAAATGATAATCATACCAACACAATTTTTATACTAGACATGTGTGTTTCTTTTCTTCTCCACAAGCATTGTCCGTGAGAGTTTTATTGTAATATCTCATGTGTTATTGACCTTGCTAGAGCTACATTCACAGTTGCTGGTTGCATCATCTCAGAGCTCTAAGAAGTTTTTGTTTGACTTACTTTTCCGTCTTTTGTTTCAGAACTAATAAGCAGAGAAAAGCAGGCAAAGGCTCAACTAGATCACTTTAAAGTCACATGCTGTTATGTACTCCCACCTGCTTGTAGTTTAGTAGAATAAACAGTATTATATCAGTGTTATTACATCAATGTGCTGGCCATTGTTGATGCAATAATGAAGGTCATGGACAGTCGATCGTCACTCTGTAAGAAACACTGAAAACTAGTCCTAGCTCTCTGTTCTTCTACATGAGGCAGGCAGGAGGTTTTGGTATTTGTACACAGTTGGGGACACAGCAGGTGTTATAGGTCTTGACTGGAGTTACAAAAGTCGAGAAACACAAAGTTATCATAGCAAATGTCTCTGATTTGGAGCTCATCTATCCAAACTGAATTATTGTCCTGCAAAAAAAACAAAACAAAAAACAAAACAGTCCAGAATAATTATTTAAGAGGATTGTTTTAATCCTACCAGATTGTCTGTGAAAAACATTGTTTTCGCTCAGCAGGTTTCAGGTTTCACTGGAAGTGACCAAAATGAAAAGAAGCAATTTAGTGCCTGATTGTACTAGAAAGTTAAATTACTTACAAACTGCTCTTTTTGGAAAGTTCCATCACCGGAATATGAGTAATGAAATGAGGCCAATGAGTAACATATTTTCATTTTAGTTTAAACAACTATGAGGAAGCATTACAGCATCTCCACATTATCCTGTTTGTTGGCATATTTTGATGTGAATGTATCATCCACTGATAAATCCCTTAGAGATGATTTCCAGAACATCCCATCTGCCAGGGGAAGTGTTTGGTAATCGACCATCTGACAGCTGTTAATAGTGGGGATTGGCACGAAAACATCCAACACGGAGCTTCTGCTGTAATTTTTTGGCCCTTCTGTAGCACTGACAGT